ATATATATATATATATATATATATATATATATATATATATATATATATATATATATATATATATATATATATATATATATATATATATATATATATATATATATATATATATATATATATATATATATATATATATATATATATATATATATATATATATATATATATATATATATATATATATATATATATATATATATTTTTGTATATATATATATATATATATATATATATATATATATATATATATATATATATATATATATACACACACACATTTGGTTTGCACATGTGGGCCGACAAATTCTGTAGAATGTGCTCTTAGATGAGTGTATAACATATGCTTATATACACACAACAGTTACTATTCATCCTTTCGCTAAAAACAAAGAACACGTTCAACTGAACAGAAGTAGCATTGAGAATTCGAATGTGCGTCATTCATTATGATAATATTATAATATTATTATTTTGTGCCAGCCCACTATTTAAAATATTTCATGCAAGAGTCAGGCAGAAAGTTCTGCAGGTTAATTTTATTTTTTGAAAAGATGAAGACGCGAATTTGTGTTACATTATTCATTATAATGGCGTCTAATGTTAAATTATATTTTCTAAGCAATTTTTCATTTATGTACTTATTCGAACATTCAAAATAATGTGAATAAATTTAATGAATGCAATTCATGCAACGTACATTGAAATTTTTTCCAATTTGTCACAACTCTTTTTCCGCACCTGTATCAGATCCTGTTTGCTGTATTAAAGCGATCATTTCTTCAAAGCTGATTCTAATTTGAATTTGAATCAACTTGAGAGTTCGCGGGTTGGGTTAAATAACGTTTTTCCTGATCACACTTGAAAAAATTTCTTGGAGATAAAAATGCCCAAGTGTCCTAAATGCCAAAAGGAGGTTTACTTCGGTCGGTCAATTTAACATTTTAACATTTCATGTTTACCGTTGAACCGCATACATACACAACTATATTTTATTAAAAAAACACGAAATACTCACATGCTTATTTACAAACATGTTTTTAACTAGATGTGTGTGAATAATTAATAATTAACTAAAAAAGTCATTTGCTTCTGTTTTTAGATTAATGTCATCAGGAATAATTTAAAACAATTTAGTTAATGTAGTAGAGATATTTATTAATGATTTGTCGATTGTAATTTATTTCATATGTTGACTGACAAACAGCTGAAAGGAAGACGTCGTTGGGTAAAGATTGGCACTCTGGATGTTTGAGGTGTGCCAAATGCAACAAGACTCTCACTCCTGGCCAACACGCCGAAGTATGGGAAGAAACTGTTTTTGTGTCATCAACTTGTTTGTTATGTTGTGTTGTTTATGTTGTGTTGTGTTGTTTATGCTGTGTTGTGTTTGTTTACGTTGTGTTGTTTGTTTACGTTGTGTTGTTTGTTTACGTTGTGTTGTTTGTTTACGTTGTGTTGTTTGTTTACGTTGTGTTGTTTGCATCTTGTCTATGTTTTGTAATTTGTGTTTCCTTGTTTGCCGTATAATAGGTATTGGAAATATTTTGCATGGTTTATATTTTGTTCTATGTTTTGTTCTATTACTTAAATAGTATTTTGCTATCCTTTGGCTTGTTGTTTGTATAGGTTGGTTCTTTATTTGCATTAATTTTTTTATTTACGTCCACATCTCATTTGCACATTTTTAAAAGTTTGTTTTCCATTTATAAGATCCGTGCGTTTGACCTCCACTGGCCTAAAGTTACAGGCATACATATATAATTACGATTGGACGCGGTTTTATGTTTCGTGTAGTTTGATTGGATACGCTCCTAGGCATAAATAACTTTCCAAGTTGCATTCCAAGATATATTGATCTATCTTTACTTATATGTCAAAATTGATCTTGGGATATTAATGTGAACATAATAAGAATGATTTACCGCAATGTAAATAACAATGTACAACGTAATAACCAATCAGCGTGATGATCAGCCCTACTGTAACGTTCCATGCTACGCTGCTCTCTTTGGTCCCAAAGGTATTTTGATGGATGGTTTAATTAAATCCAAATTACACATAAGTAAACGAAGCGAGATAACCAGTTTTCACCTTTTTGTCTAAATTAATTTCGATTTATTTTAATAAATTTTTTTGAATTAAATAGCAAGAATTGTTACATTTTAAGTAGTTGTAAGGGTTGTGTTATTGCAATGCATGTGGTTTTTATGTGCATTTATTTAATTCAGGATTCGGCCATGGTGGAACGGAGAGTCACACCTTCAGAAATTAATTTATAAGTTTTTCATTTTTAGTTTTATAATTTTCGTCGAATTTCTTAACTTTTTAAAATAATTTAATAAAATTTTACCTGCTTCTAAAATTATTTAATATATTTTTATATCCTTGAATATTGATTTTGCTATTGTCGGTGATAAATAAATAAACTGAAGAATTAAAAACGATTTTTAATGTTTGATCCGTGTTAGAATTATTTTAATCACGTTTGATGTAGCAGAATCGCCACTCGTGCGACTGCTCTGAAATGCGTTGCTCTTAAGCGATGATTCGAACAAAATAGATCATAAAGATTAAAATATAAAATGAAAAAACTAAATAAAGTGGGAAATACCGCTTGTGTTTGCGATAAGAAATTAATCGCTCGATTCTATTTATAGGATCGGCATCATGTGTAGACGGTAAGATGAGGAGATAAGAAGAGGTTTATATTAGGAAAAGCATCGTCGTCGTTGTCTTCCTCCTCTTCACCTGCTTCCGAGGAAGTAGTGAGAACAACAGGGCAGTATGTTAATTATGTAAACACGAGCGCAGTGTTTCTTGTGTTATATATCCCTCAAGGCGCAATAAAAAATTTTCAAAAGTAACACTGAACTGCTGTTAACACTGGTCTTTTATCAGTCCGTTTTTGCTATAATAGAATCAATTAAATTAAAATTGTTGTTATCATTCATAGTATTTTTTCTAGGCTCAAAATGTTAATTAAATGTTTATTAATTCGCAAAGTTTAAGTTTTGTTAACAATGAATTCCAAAATCTGTCAAAATACTCGCAAATCTATCAGGCGCCTCCAACAAGCAATCATCGATCGCAACATGCCTGAAGTAGTAAACATCTTGAGCGAGTACTTCGATGTTGATTACGTCTGCAACAGCAAACTTTCATCGGAGCTCGCCATGGAAACCAACGACAGAGCAATTTGTGAGGCAGTTTTTAAAACAGGTTGTGACCTGAACAAACACCTAAACAACGCAACTGGCGATACGTTACTTATAAAAGCTGTTTCTGAAAATCATAGTCCGGAAATGATTGAACTTTTATTAAAATACGGAGCGGATCCCGACTTGGGAAATGATTTGAACGAAACAGCAATCCACAAAGCTTCATCCCTCGGCTTGTTGGAAATCTTGCGAATACTCGTGAAACATTGCCACTACTTGAATCGATGTGACACTAAAGGGCAGACAGCGCTGTTCAAAGCTGTTGCAAATGGGTTTTGTGATGTCGTAAAAATATTGGTAAAGGCAGGAACGGATTTGGAGTGGACGGATGCTGAGAAGAGAACTCCGCTGATATGCGCAGTTGAGTCGAACCAAGTGGAAGTAGTGAAAGTGCTTCTCGAAGCTGGTTCGTCATTCATTTTATCTTATTTTCGTTGATGCATTTGGATGTAGGAGTAAGAAACGTATTGAAAATAAACGATCCTATCAACAAAACAGAATAGAATAAATATTTCTTCATCACTGCCATAAACAAACAAACAAACATTCAGGTTGCGACGTAGATGCCAGAGACAGATACGGCAGCACGGCACTCTTCCATGCAGCGAAACAAAACAATTTAGAAATATTAAAAATTTTGTTGAACGCAAACGCTCTGGTCGATAAGCCAGATTCGAAGGGATCAACTCCGTTCTCAGGTAAATACGGACTGTTGGTTGATAGGGACTGTTGGTGCGTACCTGCTGACTGTCTAATGTTGTTTTGCATGAACGAATGATAATAAAATATATGAGATAGCATGGCATCATTATTATTTTTAATGCAAATATTCGTAGCAATAATATTATCAACAAACAATTTCAGCTTCTGCTACATCTTAAAACTATTTCAAGACGTAAAAACAAACGCTCAAAAATTGAACTATAGCAAACGCATTACATCGCACGCTTACAGAAGCGGTAAAGAACGTTCATCTCGACATCATCAGTGAACTTATCAAGTCAGGTTGTGAGGTCAACACAACAAACTTTGACCTCAAACAAACTGCTCTTCACAAATGTATATCGCAAGGTAAGTATAGGTATTATCTTCTACTTTAATAGGATTGGAATTATTTATACTAATTGTATCACATAAATGGACAGCTTCAAACGTGTATAGTCAAAGAAGCAACCAGTTGAAACTGTTCGAACTCCTCATGAAAAGTGGTGCTCATGTTAATGTACCAGACCAACTAGGATGCACTCCGCTTTATCAGGCCAGTCTGAAAGGAGAACTAGGTAAAGAGGTATCAGTAAATCATTTTTGTTTCTCTCTTTTTCTGCGTGTTTTGGTTAGGATTTGAGTTTATAAGCGCTGATGCATGTATATATATATACAATATTCTTTCTTACATTTAAAATTTTAGCATTTGAACTATTAAATAAGTATTTAAAGTACGGCATGACTGAAAAATTGTGGACCAGTTTAGAATCATTCAATTTAAACCCCTCTACAACATTTTTTTGCCAACCTCCAACCAAATTAGTTTTGAATTTGTAATTTATTAGGGTCTGAAAAATTATTTTCAATATAGAAAAAACTGTTTTTTCTTCAACCAGAGATGGCACAGAAGCTGATTGACAATGGAGCAGATATACATTACGTAACAAACAGCGGCGACACCATGCTGCACGCTGCCGTCGTCGGCAACTCCTTGCCACTTACGGACATGTTTATCGAGAAAGGTTATATTCAATATTAAAAATTGTATTAACAAAATATTTTTGTTGACTATTTCAATTCTAAACCAACTAATTGATTTGATTGATTGATTTGGATTTATACAAAACTTCTTCGATTAATAATTTTTTGTAATGAATTGATATTTTCATATTTTTAACAAATTATATTTGCAACGCAAAATTTTTTCAATCAGTGGATGCAGTGAACAAGCAAAACGAGTGTGCGCTCTACCTCGCCATTAGCCACAAGTCAGACATCGAGGTCCGTGTTTCCTTACCTACTGCTCGTTTTTCTCTGGATAATTCATTTTAAAATTTTTTCAGAAATAACCGATATATTAAAAATACGTTACAATAAAGTTTTAAATAAATCATCCGACGCCCTTTAAGATCATAAAACATTTGATAAGAAGTGGTTGTGACTTGAACATATGCGAGAAGAAGAACCATGAAAGCCCACTCCTCCTATCCATCATGAAACGTTATACAGCCGCTTCCGAGAAACTCATTCTAGCTGGTACTAACTAACTATGTCTATTTTCATTTTTTTATTTATATAAAATTTTTTAGTTTCGATAAATTTTAATTTATTGTTGAGTTGTTATATGGAATTAACGTTCAAAATTGATCACATTAATGTGTTTGCAACCTTAACAATTCATTAAACGTTGGCAAAATTTAAAATAAAGCAATTGAAATGCGTAAACTGTATAACTATGTTTTTATCTGCCAAGTTCGTACGACGTTAAAACTGTTCAACGCCAAACAGGATGTGACGTGAATGTTGTAAATAATTCTTGCACATCTCCATTGTGGGCTGCATGTGATTCGAGCGAGGAGAAGATTGTGGACCTCCTGCTAGAGAATGCGAACACGGACATCAACCTGGGCTACCACTGCACACCGCTACATGTTGCCGTGAGGAACAAGAACGTCAGCATCGTCAAAAAACTCATCCAGCATAAGTGCAATTTGAATAAGGTGGGTGGGTTTTTGAATTTCTATAACCTCACACGTCTCGACAGTTTCTTAGCAGAATTTAAATAACAATCTATAGGTTTAATTGTTTGTTGATAATTGAAAATAAACTTATAGATATTAACTGACTTAATAATTGTTAATACGTAAAAATATAAGAAAACAGTTGATAAAAATTCAGATAAAGTATTCGATTTGCAGTTGAATGATTTGTGCAAATCGGCATTGTACATGTCAGCAGAGTACAACTCGTTGGAAATTGCAGTGTTGCTCATCAAGAACGGAGCCAGTCCATCCATTCACCACTCGCTTCGGAAACATGGTTGGTCAGGAAGAAGTTTCTTTGACATTCCATCATTCGTTCAATTTCTACTTATTTATTTACCCAATCGTCCGTTCAGTTATTCATTCACCCATTCATTTTGTTTTCACTTAGTTATCATCAACAGCTGCGTATTTAATTTGAATGACTTTTAAATACACAACCACCCGATACACGAAGGGTTCTGCTGCCTGCAATACAAAGATCCCCACCCACACTTGGAACTGGAGCCGTTATTTGTTGCCTTCCAAAACGACAACATGAAAATGATAACAATCCTAATACTGGCAACATACCGACTGCCTTACCAGGAACTCAGCACTTTGAAGGACATCATATTCAGGACCAGTTACGTTCGAGATATGAAGATGACCGAAAGAATGGTCTACCAGTACGCTAATTTTTTCTCGAAAATTCTATCGAAACCGCGAAATCTCAAAGAATTAGCAAGAGGAAAAATAAGAGAATGTCTCGGTCAATATCCACTCGATAAAATCGGAAAAATGAAATTGCCGGACCAGCTGAAGGCTTACGTAGCGATGGCTGGTATCGACTCGGTTCTTGCTGCTCCTGGCAAATAAAATGGCTTCAATTTTGTTCTTACAGTTTCTCTGAATTTTTTCCAAACAATAAATTGAAGAAAATGATTGTTCAAATTGCATGCTCTTTAAATTGTTTCAAATTTAGTGAATCATAACTACTAATAACTAAATGATTAAGATAGTATGTCATTATAAATTCACCGCACCCATCATCACCTTATTGCGCTGTTAAATCATTTTCATTGAAACTTTTTAAAATCGATCAAACATGAACTGTGTTGAGTTTAAAAGGTATAAAATCACAATTATGTACATATATTAGTTAAATGCACTACTTGTATATATATGTATATATATGTATATATATATATATATATATATATATATATATATGTGTGTGTGTGTGTGTGTGTGTGTGTGTGTGTGTGTGTGTGTGTGTGTGTGTGTGTGTGTATGCAAGTACATGTGGTTTCGTGCGTTTAACATAGGCGCAGTAACATGAGTTAACCTGCATGCATTTCTTCTACAGTGATTTAATAATAAATAAATAAATATAAATGAAATAATAAATAAATAACAAATAAATATTATTTTAGTGTTTTTTCTTTAAACTTTTATAAAACTGCGTTATGTATGACACATTATATGCAAATAATATGAAGTTAATAAATAAACAAATAAATAAATAAATAATTATTTATATATAGTTTAGAAAACTCAGAAAAAAACATATGCAGGTCCAAATAAAAGTTGAATCACAGATAGTTTATCACAAAATTTTCGAAATGTCTAATAATGCATAAAATTATAGAATAATTAATAATGCATTAAAATAATTAATAATGCATTGAAATTATAGAATAATTAATCTTAATAAATTGTGTTAATAATATAATTTCAGGAATAGAATGAAATACAATTTAACATGTGTGAGGAGTGTTTTAAGTGAACTTGTTGCAAATTTGTGATCAATCGTCATCAATCGCATTTATCTTATAATCTCTAAACTAAACAATGCCAGCTCGTAATTACTATGGTAAACAAACTAATACACACACACACACGCACACACACACACACACACATACACACACTCACACACCTACGTCATTAAATATGTACAGTAAGTTGCCTATAGCAATTGATAATAAAGAAAAACTTATTGGCCGAAGAGACCCTTAACTTTCCCGATCATGTATTCTCCAACTTCGTAATCATTCCTTTTGAACTGGTTCTCTTTTCTGACCGCCTGGAAGGCCTCGACGATGATAACCAGGAACATGGACTGCATGCCGTATATGATGACCCATACGAACAGAAAGAAGAAGATTGGGCCGAGGATGGGCTGGGCGGTTGGGTAGTCGCTAAAAGTGAAACTCCCAATAAAGAATTGGAATAGAGTTTCAATGACTGAGGAGAAACTTTTATAGGTGACCAGTTTAGAGCTGAACAGAAGATAGCCAAGCTGTCCGAATGCCAATAAATAAATGAAAAAGGTGATCACGAAAGTTTTCATGTCTTTCACTGAAAACTTTATAGTTTCAGTCAACATAGACAGACGTCTGTTGAACTTCAACATGTTAATAAATTTTAAAGTGGCCAGAAAGACAACAATTGCAAGAACTATGCCGTATGTTTCCGCCCAGAGTCCAATTGTCACGAAGTTCACGTAGTCACCTGTGCAGTTTTTTTTAATTCAGCTATTTACCTGAGGTCGAGACTACTATTATTTTGACTGTTTAAACGAATTGTTTAAAGTATTTTGAATGATGAATAAAAAACAGATAGAAAATGTTGACGAAACAATTTTGTAGCCCACCTGAGCCTGTTTCCTTGAGCACATCCATGGCTGTGCTCCCAAAAATCATCTTCATTCCGTACATGGCGATGGTGACGATGGACATGATGGCGGTCAGAAGTTCCAGCCAGTTCCAGAAGCTTCTGAAGTACTCACGTTTCTGCTTCCGCATCAAATTTATTATATGCACCAGGAAGTAGATGACAAACCCCACGTAGATTACCTTGAAACAAAATGAAATACAGATTTCATAAAAGTCAATGAAAGTTATTTTTGTTTTCAAAACAATAATCCCAACTGCAGGCACGATCATGTAAAATAAAACACGATATTTTGGTTTGCGGCACTTTCGTTAACATTATACAATATTCAAACACTGGTTTTAAAATAACGACTAGAAAATTGAACTAAAGCAAACCTGAAAGATAGCAACGATGATTCCAAAAGCACCGACATAACTGGAAATTTTGAAAACTTTAACTTCCTGTGAAACAACAGGCATACCGTTTGACAAAAATTCTAACAACATGATAACTGAACCAAAGAGGTTGGCATTGCCATTGTAAACGGTGAATTCTACAAGGAGGGCTCTTGTTTTGACATCAAGCCAGTTATTTGACTGCAAATCGGCCAATTTCCTTAAAGATTTTTGCGGATTGCAATAGAAATTAAAAACATAGCCTCCGCCTTTGTAGGTGTTAACCTGTCCCACGTACGGAGCGCTTTTCAGCTCTGTCGAATCTCTATATAACCAGGGATTGTGCTTGCCCTTGTCGAATTTCTTCGCTGCTTTCGTTCTTTCTTTCGTCATGACTGAAGACCAGCCAGTATCGTAAGAGGCAGCATCGTCGTCCAACCAGTTGTAATCAGTTCTGCAGTGTCTTATCAGCTTTTGAAACTGCTTCTCTATTCGACAGGTGTCTAAAAAATTGAAGAATCATGGAAAAACATTGTTGAACAGAAAATTATTTCAAATCGCAAATAAAATTACTAAATATATAATATTTAATTTAAAACTGTAAAAAAACCGCTTCTTTTAACAAAGTCAAACTGATGTTTTGCACACATTAAGCCGGTGGCAATAACTAACTTTCTTTAATTCTCAATTGTCTGAGTCTGGCCACACCCAACCTAATAGACACGTGATCACTCGTCTGCAGAGATTCCCGCCAATTTTTAGTAGGCCAGCTGTTGTACCATCCTTGCGTGTACAGCTGTTTCATGAGGGTGTCGTTCACCCACGCGTAAACTTTGTCGTACGTATCGATCTGTATTTGGGTATTTTTTGGGGGTACTTGTGAGTTAAGACTTGGACATTTGTACACGATGTTGTCTGTTAATGAATCATGTTGTTGTTGTAGCCGTTTAGACGGTATAAATTCAAATTCAGACAATACAAATTGTATTATTAAAATTTTAAAATAGATTTTTAAAAGTAAATCAATAACATTAGAAAATGAAGATTTCCCTCCTGATTTAAAGAATTGGTTTTGTATATTTTGAACGTAATTGAACGATCGGCTGTCTTTATCTTGGTAGGAGATGAAATAGAGAACGAGAATGAAAAAAATGTAGATGATGCATTCTTTCAAAATAGACTCAATTTGAATCTCTTTCAATCTCTGCTCTCTCAATTCCTTTAGTTTGGAAGTGTCCAGGAGACCCGCAGACGCCAGCGTCTGATTCCTCTGCCTCGTGATCTCTGTTGCATGAAATTATCAAACATATATTTGTAGATGGTAGCAATTTTTTGTCAATTTATTCAATCCAATGTTTTGAAGCAATTCAATTTATCGTATTGATTCAAACGTTCTAATTAATATAGCGCAATGTTTTAAAGGCATTTTTCAGAATTAAAATTGGAATGAATCTTTCTGCATTTAAACAACATCCTGAAACTTAAGACTCGTCACTTTGAAAATTGAACTATAACACCTCATTAACTTAATTTTTTTATTCTGCTATGATGCATACCGCTAAAAATTCACCTTGAATGTTCTTTTTTGACATCTCACAATCCAACTCTTCGTCTGCCTTCAAGATGTTTTCATCCATTCCTTCTTCTTCCTCTATATCAGGTTTTTTAAGAATGCATGAAATGAATGCCGTCAAGAGTAGTACCTAAAAAATGAATTTATTAAATTTTCCCATAAATATAACATGGAACAAATTGTAAATGACCTTAAAATTTACGTATTACATTAACATAAAAAACTTTAACATTATCCAACAAACAATTTTTTGCAAAAAAAAACAAACGACGAAACGCAAGGAAACAACACTAAACAACAAAATTTAACTTCATGATATATTACAAATTTGTTTTAACCAACACACCTACCGACCTTGACAGGTTGAATGATGATAACATTTTGAAAGAACGAAAGGAAGAACGTTTTGAGCCAGTCCAACGATTTCTCTCTGCCCCATTGCATGCTGTAGAGGATGGTGAAGAATGCTGGTGCCACAATCGAGAAGAAAACCACTGGAGTGAGTGGAGTGAGGTAAGAGTGAGTGGAGTGAGGTAGGAGTGAGTGGAGTGAAGTATGAATGAGTTAGGAGAAAGGTAGGAGTGAGTGGAATGAGGTAGGAGTGCAAAATTGTGATTAGATCAAACAATTTCACACAAAAACGATTAGTTAATTGAAGAAGTGGATGAGTGCAGATTACATTGGTCGTTTTAAAACGTGAGAGTTTGATAGAGATAATGATCAGGATGACAAAAACAACAAAAATTATGATAAAAATGATGAGAACTTACAAGACCAAGCGATGTAGATTGTCCACCATGGAAACATAAATGGCTTCTTTTTCTTCAACCCTGCATTTGTTGCCTTCTCTGGGTTTTCTATGAAAATTGTTTTCAGGTTGTTAACTTTTTGTTAAGGCAAACAAAAAATTATAAACAAAAATAAGACCAATTCATAAATAGCTGTGCTTTTGAAAGAAGCACACAGTAATTCATAAAAATATGACCATGGCTGATGACAATTTGTTTAACCCTTGGCTTTCGGTTTCTTATAGAAAGAAGCAATGCTCTGGATCGTATCGCGCAATTTCTGCTTTCTCGTTTTTTCGGATTCCTTCCACAATGACGACTGCTTGTCCAAACTCTTCCAACCTGTTCTCTGTCGTTTCCATTTTAAGAAATCAAAATCTTGTGATTTTTTAAGTAAGAAGTAAAAATTATTTGAAAAGTTATAAACCCCGTTTTGTTCCACAGCGTTTTCTTTTGGCCGTGTTTTTTTGAAAATCGTAATAATAGCCATACTGGGTAGTATGATGATTAAAGTGCTTTGAACGGAAATCATAATTTGTTGTAAGGTTATTTCGATGGGTCCAATGTGTACGCCAGTTGCATGGTCTGGATCGACCGACTTGAAGAACATGCAGTTGACAATCATAGTCAGGAAGAGGAGAGAGAAGCAGCAGGAGACACGTCGAACGCGAGTAAAGGAACTTCTCGTTGGTCTGCTGAAAACTGAGAACCAAATGTGGTCATTGCTAAATTTCTTGCGGATGCTGTGCGAGAACAACTGGCCGAACTGGGTCATATCATCTTTGCCGGCCACCGGAACGACTCTCTCTATCTGTCCATCTCCTTCTTCTACTGCCATCCATTGTGCACAAACGAAGAAAAATCTGAAATTCAAACGTAAGTAAAATTAAAAGAAGTGAAAAATGTTTATAATTTATGACATAATTGGTCAAAGATTCAAATAACTGTATTGACCGTTCGCCTGTTTGAACGTCGGTGAACTCAATCTGATCGAGAAACCATCCTTTCTTCGACCCCTTCCCTGAGTTGTCGTGCCAAATTCGCAGAAAAGTTAGAGGACCCAGACACTTCTCAACGCTCAGAACGTAATTGTTGATACTGCCTGTCGAGATTTCCTGCCATTGTTGGAATGGGTTGATATTTTCTAGCAGTCGTAATACAATCATAACAAAAAGAAATTAATTTTAGATTTGAAAATAACCATTCAAGCAATTCTTTTCTACAGAAGTCATCCAATAACACAACAACAAAACCTTTCTCTTTCCGTCCGTCAGATGACGCACTCCAGTGTCGGCCTCATCGCCAGAAAGTATGAAACTTGGTTTGGAAGCGGTGCCAGCATTCTTACGCATGCCCGTGTATACGGTCATTTGGTAGTAGTATGTCTCCGTCGGCAGGTTGTCTTCCAAGGGTATTGAGCCCCACTTTTGATATTTTGAAATTATTATTATTATTAAATTTATTTTATAAAATGAATAAACAAATTTACCCTAGCAACGTCAGCTTTATCCATGTGCCTAGCCCATACCAGAATCAAAATGTAGATTATGAAGATGACGATGATGGTCGAGAAAACAGGAAGGCTTCCTAGGAAATTATCTAGAGTGAAGACTGTGGCGAAATTGATGGTGTTGGGTGCCACGAAGAAGTTGCCACCGAATGAGGTCAGGTGGTTGCACATGCACTGCGTCTTCAGAGCCGTCGTGTCTGACCCGACCTAAATGATAATAATTTCATTTTATATAGCGTCATGGCAAGCGACTGAGGCGAATTATCATTATTACAACAAACACACGGTGCATAAATACACGTAAATCAACGCATCACACACTTTTGCATGTGATAGGTGGGGATCTTTTTGCATTCAAACCCGGACACTGCATCAACAATTGCCAGGCACCTTAGCCACTACACCATCGCGTCGCAAATTATTTAAAAATAACATAAATCATTCAACAATGCTGTCAAGTTATTCGCATTAGATAAAAATTCATGACAAAAGTTCCTCAAAATCATTAATAATGATAATATTATTATTGATAACTTTTATCATAATTATTTAATTCATGAGAAGAAAAGGTATTAACGGAGCATCCAGCAGTATCCCAGCTTGAAGTATTTTCATTCCAGTACTTGCAGGCGGCCGAGTATGCGTAAAAGTTGTAGGAGACGTTCATCATGCTGTCGCTACTTTCATTGGCTGAGAGTATTTGATGAGAAAAATGAAATTTATTTAAAGAATAAAATGATCAAATTACTGAGTTTATTTACTTCAAGAGCAATGAAAATGAATGTTTCGCACGGTTGTCAGGTTAAAATTTTCATTTTAACTCAATGATGATTTTTGCCAACAGTCCAAAAAATAATTTATTTAGAAACGCCAATATTTTTTAAAATAAAGTCAAAATAAATGTTGATAATTAGCAATAAAAAAAACTAAAAATAAAACCGTATCAACCTTTTATGGCCACACCAATCCAGTACGTTCCATTCACTTTGGTGACATTTTGTGGTGGATGGATGGCGTATCTTTTCTCGCCAGATGCGCTTACGTTGGGGACGGAAGCATTCCAATCAAAAAACGTCTGATTAGGGTAGTCGTTGTATTTTATGTAGACGTCATAAACAACATCTTCAACCGGCTCCAACACGGCAAAAATGGCAGTGTCGTTATCGGGTATCTGCACTTTGTGGCAGTTGACTGTTGGCCGGGTTGGGATGAATTGGTAGGATTGCCTGTTCGGGGTTGGCTCTTTTGGCGCGCCTATTGAAAAGTTTAATTTCATTGCATGCTGACGATTGAGTGCACTACTGACTTGATTCTAATGAAAAATTAGAACACTTTTTTAAAGGTTTCGGAAAATTCTAATCATAAGTTTAATAATGGTAACGTTTTTGAATGTGCTGATTATCTAATAGTTTTGCTATTATGAATTAGTTTTTGCAAGAACATTTCAATGTTTCAAGTATTTTTATTTCCTTCTTCTAAATTTTATTTTAATAAAGAAATTCACATATTCTTAAAACTCTTAAACCCAAACGTTAGGTTTTTATACATTTATTTCATTCCCATCTCTTAGCAAAACAATTGGAGTATTCCGTTTTATAATTACCAACATACAAATTTGCGAGAAGTTATCAGCCGATGGAAACATATCAACAAGACACGCTTTTCCACCGAGTTAAATTTCCAATTTCACTCACCATCTATCCAGAACACAAATGGCTCCGAAGTGTTTTCCATGGTCATCGGCTTTCCATCGCAGGTCGTCAGCAGGATGGTTTTCACGTTTCCAGATACGCCAGATGATGAATCGTCTCCAAAAGTGAATGGATTCCCTGAGTCCAGTGTCTGTTTTTGTATGTTTGTTTATGTTTGAGTTTGTTTGTTTGAGTTTGTTTGTTTGTTTGTATATTTATATGTTTGTTTGTAGTTAAAGGTTTGTATACAACTATGCAATCTAAGAATGTGCGAGTAAAATATATTTTGCGATGGCTAGCTTAAGAATAAATAACAAATACATTAATGGGGGCTATTTTTACTAGAATGAGATTGAATAAGACAGTTAAAAAACAGTGGCAGCAAAAACGTAAAGAGCATTAAGAAGCCAGCAAATCAACAAACCAACCAGCCAGCCAGCCAGTTAGCCAGCCAGCCAGCCAGTTAGCCAGCCAGCCAGTTAGCCAGCCAACCAACCACTCAACTAACCATTGCACCACATCCGTTTGCAGATTTTGGAATGGAAAGTTCTCCAACACCATTTGACTCTTTATTACAAGAGACAAAAAATAATATTTGAACAGTACAAACACAACGAGTATTAAAATAAGAATTAATAATAAATAAATTTAAATATTAGATAAATTATTTCCTCATCACCATAATCATAAACATTATCATCGTCATAGTAACAATAATCATCATCGTCGTCGTCGTCATCGTTATCATCTTCTTTTTTTTCTTCTTTTTCTTCTTCTTCTTCTTTACCACCGTCGTCGTCATCATCATAATCTTTCACTAATCATCGTCATCATCGTCATCATAATCCTTCATTCATCATCATCATCACCATCATCGTCATGGTAATCCTACACTCATTCATTCATCTCAACCTGCGGATGAATTAAGACTGGCGACAGTAAGATTCATTCCAGGAGCATTCACACTGACGCTGGCTCCTTCCTGCTGTCTTCCCACCAACAATCCTCCAACTGTGCTCACCGCTCCCAATCCGTTCATCGTCGTTTTCTTGCTCTTAGGAATGTACGATTGGATTAGTTCTTCAATGTCTTTGAATTAATTTCTTTCTTAAAATTAAATAACGGTGAAAGCTATGCGATTGGATGGTGGAAAAGTTGAGATTGAAAATTAATTTCTTATCATCGTATCGCTGCCTCTTTATATTATCGCCATGTTGCAAAACAGAACCATTACCACAACAGTCATCATCATCGTCATTGTCATAAAAATCCAATTCCAAGTAACCAACAGCCACCAGCAACAGCCAACCAACAATCAACTATTCACCAACCAATCAACCAACCGACTGACCGACCGAGCGACTGACCGACCGATTGACCGACCGATTGACCGAACGACCGATTGACCGACCGACCAACCGACCGACCAACAACCAACCAACCGGCAATCAACCAACAACCAAACACCAACAACCGACCAACCAGCCAATCGACTAACGGCCAACCAGCAAATGAAATCTTGTTACTTACCACTTCATTCTCCCTCGCTCTAATGTCATCGTTGTATTTGTTGAACCTCGCTCGCACCTCCATCAAATCACACGGATACACGTGCTCGCAATCGTCGTCTGTCCAGTTCGTCAGCTTCAAATCGAATATATCGATCTCGATATTCGAATCGTTTCCGGTGGTGATGTTCGGCACAACTTCGATCCAACTACAGAGACCATCTAATTTTTCGCAGCAAGTAAGGTTGGCCAGAGTTGCGTTATCTTCTGTTTTCTTCTTGGAAAAGATGGAACGCTTCTTGCGTCTGCTTGAAGATGAATCACCGGATGAGATGTTGTCACTGCTGCTGTTGGACGGAGCGAATGGAAGGATCTGACCGGCTGTCGATAGCATGGCTGTTCGTGTGGCAAGTAAAATTCAAATATGATTTAATCAGTTAGCCTGCATTCCAATCTTATAGTTTTCATCATGAACGCTCATGGAAAATTAACAAACCCGTCCATACGAACGCGCGCCAAATATTCATAAAACACTACTCCTCAAAATCGTTTGCAACCAAAATTAGCATAACGTGTAAAGAGAATAACTTGCAGGCCATAAGAGTAACATATAAATACAACCATACAAAACCGTACATTTTGTGATGTCTTTCACTTGGTCAGTTGTAGCATTCTTCGTCAAAGTGGCTGCTTTTTCGGCCGCGTTGTTCATGCCCTCAGCGGCGTTCGACTGCACGTGTGGTAAGTGTGGTTTATGCTAATGCTTCTCACGCGGTACGTGTCGTTTATGTTAATGTTTCTCACGTTCATAAATAATATTTTCAGTGGCCTTTTCATACATAAAATTTACTTTGAATTTTCAAACCTTCTTTATGCCCTCATTAAAAATAAATTCTATTTAATGTTTGGTTTATGATTTTGTAATGCCATCATTTGTGCCGTTGGTATCAAAGGTGATATAAGCTCAAAAAATAAATATGTTGAATTATTAAATTCCCAAATTGTCATCATATCATCATATGCAATGGCACGACATAAGAATGAAGGTGAAGATGAAGATGACCTTTGCACCACTGGTCACTTCTTCCGGTTGTGACGTAACATCCGAAAATACTTTGGCGGTTTTGACGAGTTGGTCGGTGTCAGCTAAGTTGTCTGTCACCTTATTCAAACAGTTTATAATTCGACCTCTCATCTGTTGATGGTGATTTTAATGGTGGTGATGTAGATGATGACGACGACGATTATGTATTAATACATAAGATTATATTAAATCACGATAACGATAATGAAGATGATAATTATTAATTTTTATAATGATGGCAATTTGTTTATTTCGAATGCTAGTTGGCGATGTATGACAGACCTTCGTCCTTTGCTGCTGGGCCTCCTGGTGGGAAATTATTTCAAATATCGAGTCACACAAATTTAAAAAGTTTATATTTATTTATATTTCTTTCACTCAAACAATTCTTTAAATTAGCAATTATAGAAAAAGATTTTAAACGGACCAATAAAACTAAGAATTACTAACATCACTGTCGTTCCCTGTATTAGAGAGGCCCTTTGTGACCTCGTCAAGAACCAGCAGTGCCGCGCCAGTGTTATTACTAGCCAGCAAGTCGTCAATGGAATCCAAAAGTGATGCGTTGGTCGTCAGGATTGAAAATTGCAGAGAAGAGCTACTCTGTCTCTCATCTTTAGATACTATTAACGTTAAATTTACCCTGTCTTTTGACGAAATTGCGTCTGCTACGAAGTAAATCTTAGATACGTCATCAATATTTATGGTTGCCGCCGGTCTGAAACATGGCGCAGCTCTATAGTGGTATATCTGAATGTTTTTCTCGCTATTATTTGCCACAACTAATGCTCCTTTAGTCATTTCTGACAGGTTAACGTTGTTAAACGTCGATGAGGATGAACAGAAAATCGAAAATTTCATTCCTGTCTTATTGCTTGCGTCAACATCTGGATCTTTAGAGTCAAAAATATTCAATTTTACTAGGTCTGATGTTGAATAGAAGTTTTTCTTGTCACTGGTTATAACAGAGACGAGAGGTGTTGGAATTATTTTAATGAAAGTTGACACCTTATTTGTGGAATGAACCATGGTTGGTACCAGTGAACTTCCAACTACTTTGTTAACCACGATCGATACATTGACTCTGTAAGTTCCATACCACAATGTGTTCGGAAGAATATTCAGCTGATTATTCGAACTTCCGGATTCACATACTTGAAGTTCAGGTCTCCAAAATGAATCTTTAATCAATTTTTCTGCCGTCCATACAAACACTGGCTTGTAGGAATCGGAATCATCTGAACAAGAAACTTGTGCAACGGCATTCAACGTAATTTTATTTGATCTCATCGATGTTTGAGGTGACATGATTGAAGTTGGATTGTCGATTGACACTGAATAAGTGGAACAAGAAAGATCGGTGTTCGAAGGATTAACAACAGTCACGGATGGGCAAAGTTGACTCGAAGTGCTGGAAAACATGTTTGTGGTGACGGCAGTTATTGTAAACAAGCCGCTGGATTTGTATTTATATGTTATTTGAAAATCATCCAAGTATAATGGATTTTCAAAAATTTGAGCGACGGAACTGTTGTTTGGGATTGTGAGAGGTGCTTGAAAATTATCGCTACTCTTGAACGTGCCTGGTCTGTAATATTTTGAAGTGTTTCCATCTCCCATGTTCACTTCCAGTATAACGGGTGATCCGGTCGGACACCGGATCCTGAGAGAAATACTCTGATCAGTTGAAACCACGCTTTCTACTATAAACAAATCTAAACTAGTTATGTTCTGGCCTATTTGAATTTTTGCAGGCGGTAAAACAATGGAGCTTAAATTATTATATACCACTACTTTTACCGTATAGATACCATACTTTGGATAAACATACTTGTGGTGGTAAACAGGGGTCATGCTGTTTTTAGGCAACAGAGTGACAATGTTCTTTGTTCCGTCTCCTTGATCAAAATTCACTTGAATTGGATTTGCTGGTAAGCTATTAACGTCTGTTTTTATTATGAAATCACTGGCTACACCTAACTGCGTTGTATTCAAAAAGTCCAAAAAACTGTTTAGCAGTGGTCGCTCCACTGAAACCTGCTTTGTTAGACGTTTCTGACTGATGTCATTTGAAGCTACAACTGAAACATCAAATTTTCCGAACGCAAAATACGTGCAGTTGACTTTGAGAGAGGTTGGTCCCGACAGATATGGCATGAAATACGTCGTGGTTTTGTTGCTACCACAAGAAATGTTCACATGCACCTGATCTCCTTGCCAAATACTCACATTAAAAAAGACGGTCTCATAAATTTGTGCAATGAATGATTTAGAAATTATATCTATTTGGCCAATTGGATTAAGAATTTTGTATATGGCGTTAACGATCGGTAATCCAGATAAAGATTGCAAGTTGAGGGAGTGATCACCAGAGTATTTAAAAGAATTGATCGATACAGCGATAGAAGAACCGACAATTTTTACCGAATTATCTATTGGAATATTATTATCAATCAGAACTCTGACATTGTTGCCTGGATTAGTGACATTCAATGAGACCGGGGCGTTGAAATCAGTTGCTCGGCTTTCAGTTAAGACATTAGGGTTGGTTGAGGTCAATATATAATTCATTTGAGTGGAACCGTAATTGTTCGAGCATTTAATGGACGAGTTATAAAATCCAACTAAACCGTAACTAAATTCATCATGAACATTGAGAACAAGAGCAGAGTCTTCTTTGTAAACGTTGGAAGAAGTGTCATTAAAGGAAACGCTACACGATTTGCTATTTTTACTAAACGTGCTGAGACTAAAATTCACTTTTCCCGGACTTATTGCAGTAAGAACAGGATCCGATTTGAAGATAATGTTATAAGGAGATGGACCAGTTTGATTGTTGATAATTTGAATGTCCATGCTCACAGATTCACTAGTGAAATAATTCTTGGCTACAACGTTGACCGTATACTTACCGCTCTGCAGCCAGGAATGTTCTACAGTGTTATCAGAGGTATTAACTTTTTGATTGTCCCCGAAGTCGATTGAATAAATTATTACTTCGTTTGAAGTTACTTTAAAGTTAAAAATTACATTTTCTGTTATGTTGTAGCTGGGTTTTACCGGCGATACGTTGACTGCGAAATTCATAGAGGAGGTGTTGTTGAATGTGTAATGTGTGGCCCAACCCAATTGAAAGTCGTTATCCAAACATTTTGGTACCGAATTGTCGTTTAGTGCTTTAAAAAGATTTGAAGTTGTCGTTCCATTGAGACACTGGCATGAAGTTGACAGTTGTAAAAGGAATCCGTTCGCAGAACTTTTGGAGCAATATGTCTGACAGGACTGCAAAGTGGTCATCGTTGTAGATGTACTCGTAATTGCTGATGTTGGTTTTGTGGACGTGCATTCGAAAACCAGTTGATTGATATTCTTCACTAAAAATGTAATAATATAAGTACATATATTAAAAATTTGTTTAATTTTTATTTTGATATAGCCATGTAACTAATATAATTTACAACATACCGAAGTTTGCGTACACATCATCTTTCGTCAATTCACTCTGTGCAAATTCCAAGTTTTTCAGTACAAAAAATGTTTGGACTGTTTCAACTTGAAAACTTTTACTAGTTCCAATAAGAACAAATGGAAATGGAAAAAATTCCAGCTGCACAAACTTTCTTGTCACTGGAATCAACTTTTGACCAGCAACCAATCCGTCGACGAACACGGAAAGTCCGTTACTAATGCTCCACGTTACGCCAATGTGCTGCCAGGAGCCAGGATGAAGAACTAACTTTGTTGACCAGAATGATGTTCCCTTGGACACTCCGACTTCAAACTCATTTTCATAGTTTTGCTTGACGTAGAAGCCTTCAGAAAGGCTGGAATGACCGCCGGAAGTGATTATGAAATTATTTCTAGAAAAATCACCAAAACCCGTTTTCATCCAAAACGTCAGTGTGAAGCCATTCTGGCAGAGGCTAACATTTCCAAAGCATTCATAGGTATAAGATCCAAGTTGAGTTGATAAACTTGAATAACTACTCACTGACCAATTCACATTTTCGAAAAATTGTTCTTGACCTTAACAGTTTGTTTGTTTGTTTGTTTAAGGAATTTAAATATGAAAACTTATTTTGAAAATTAAACAATTTTTTAAGAAAAAGATAAATTAAATAACTTTTTTATCTATGTACTGTGAAAAAAATGTATAACCTTGTACGGCGAGCACGAAAAGATGTAAAATCACTATGTTCCAAATCATTCCAGCATTAACAGTGTCGACTTGGTGGAAAAAAGTGAAATGGAAAATTATTTGCGCATATAGGCATTTAATAATCTATATTGTTTAGATAGGTTGTCATGGAGTCGTTGGAAACTTGGCAAAAACAAGCGGCAACTTTTGAATTATTCATTTTTAATTACGGTTGGTTCTACTATTTTGGGCATTTGCAATTCATCAAATATGCCAATTTCTTCTTATCGTTTGATTGCTTGGTCAATCGATTAAACATCACTCCAGAGTTTTTATTGCAAACAACATTCAAAAGTAACAGAGTTTTTATTGCAAACAACATTCAAAAGTAACTTTTATCAATCAAAAATTTAGAAAATTATAAAACGAAATAGGCTGGTAGATTCATAAAAGGAAAAAAATAACTAGATTGCATAGGTAGGCGAATAGTACAATAAGCGTTACAAATAAATTACATATAAATACGCATTGATACATTATAAATCTGTATGAATCAGATCAAATGTATTTCTAAGTAGGTATCTATTGCCTTACTTGGCACGATATAATGATTTTTTATTAATAATAAGAACAAACATAGAAACATCATTATTTAACAACAACAATAATAATAATAATAATATCGTTCTTTCAAAACAGTTCATCTGATGGATTGGAGAATATATAGCACCTGTAGGATTTCAATAATAGTATTAAAGTTAATTGTTACTTTTGTCATCTAAAAATAAAATACAATCCAGATGATAAGTTAATCATATTTAAATAATAATAATAATTAAAACTAAGTAATTTTTAATTTAACCTCTGATGAACATGGTCTGTTTTTTTTACTACTAAGTAACTTCAACGACAGATCTTTCAACTTTTTAAACGTTTCATTGTTACAATCATTCTCCATTAAATCATCCATTTTATATTCATCTTCAATAATTTCGAGCTAATACAAAATAACAATTTAACTTTATTAATAAAAAATTATTTATAATTAATGAAGCAGGTTTCATTGCTAACAATGCTTTTTATTTTCCTATTGAGGTCCAAAGCCACAAGACCAGTTAACAACTCAACAAGTACCTGAATTTTAAAAATTATTTGGTGTCAATTTTATGTAAATTGCTATTTTTAAAGTTTTATCTAATAGATGCGTGATCAAAGCAATTGAAATGAAACAATTTGCCGACAATTTTTTTTCAAATAACCTTTTGTTATTTTGTTATAATATTTGCACGTATTCATTATATTTATTCATTGTAGTTTAGTTGAGTTTCGTATGGTAGGAGATAAAATTTACTCTATTAGAAAAATTGTATAGATGGAAGTTTCAATTTCATCAGAAAAATAATGTAGATAAAATTTTTTTATTTTGTTGCAATAAATTTAAAACAGTTTGCCATTCGACTCACAATTCCCATGCTGTACATATCTGTCCTGGGAGAGACCTCGCCATACTTCAAGTATTCTGGGGCCATGTACAGGGCGGTACCGATTAGTCGGTTTGTGTGAACGTGTGTGTCGTTTGTCGGTGCGAAGATTCGAGTTATCCCGAAGTCGCCCAACTTTGCGTCCATGTCTGAGTCCAGCAGAATGTTGGCGCTGTGGTTGTTGGTATAATAATTTGGTGATCAATTTAATTGTTACGGTACGTTAAATCATTTGAAATACATTTAATGAAATTAAATCTAGAAACACGTAAAAACGTATTAAATAAAATTGGAAAATGAATTTGAAATTTAAAAAATAATGAAACCTTTTTATATCCCTGTGAATGATGTTGTTATCGTGTAGGTAGTTGAGCGCCTCTGTGCACTGTTTGAATATTTTCATCCTCAACTCATATTTTAAACTGGGTAATTTCGCCTTTAGGTGAAAATGGAATGAAAAAAAGTTATTTTATTTCAGCGATCCTGTATTTATATTCTATAGTCTAATAATGAAACAATTAAAATAAACAACTGTACGTTGCTTATTTCAAAAGTAAAAAAAATTATAAAATACACTTGAATATAAAATAAGGCATCATACAGTTAAATTATATGAGTGAAAAACTATAAATTTCATATTTGAATTCAAATTTCAACAAAAACAAGATCAAAACTGGTACTTCATTGAGCATGTAATCGTAGAGGGATCCATTTTGCATGTAGTCGTACACGAGGCAGAGTGGTCCATCGTTACTGTAGTGGAGGAGCGTCAGCAGGTGAGGATGGTTGCATCTTTGAGCGTATGGGAAAGTTATTTTATTTATTTATTGAAATATTATAATTATTTATGTGAATTATTATTTAAATAAATTTTAAATGCTTCCATGTTATGTTTATTATCGGTAGGTCGTTTACAGTAAGTCTTATTCTGTCTCATTCAACGTTCGCTTCTGTTTGGAGGACCACCATACTCTTTATGTAATGCACATTGCACAGACGACCTTGTTGAACTTTAAAAATTATTTCAAATGTTTGCCGGCGACATTCAAATAATTGAAAGCAGTTCAATGGAGCCATTGATGGATAAGTTTGCTGACTATCTAGTAAAAATTAATGATAAGTGCACGTTGTGAAGAGGTCTCAAACCTAATCGAATGACAATGAAAACGCAACACTTATAGTCAGGGAATGAAATTTGTCGTCCTCTAGGTAGCTTAGGTGCTGTTTTTGAATCAAACTCGTCAACGACACGTGGTATGTTCACATGTTGTCTCGCAACTGTTGCTATCGGTTGCGTAGACTGAGAACCATAAAATAATTTCCAAAGTGAGGCCTCAATAACAAACATTTACACTGATGCACAATTGGGTTTAGCCCAAAAATGTTCTATAGTTTGTACCAGTGCAACGTGCAACGGCGTGAATTACGTTCTAATGAGCAAAGTTATTCAACTGGATTGGTTGAGGGCAGTTAAAATTTCGATGATGTTCGAGTTCTGTTGTGTTGAGCAGTTTGTCTTGCTTACATGTTACATCCAACTTGGCCAGTCAGTCGCTTCTAGCACTGGAAAAGATTTTATACTCATTTTTCACATTTCAACACCATCAGTGTTAGTTAAGGTTGTTGCGGTTTTTGAAATTTTTGAGAAAATGTTATAAACGCCTGCTGCACACTAAATAAATATTACGAAATAAATACTGCGTGTGTGTGTTTGTGTGTGTGTGTTTGTTTGTGTGCGTGTTTGTTTGTTTGTACGCGGTTACCTAGACAGAATGTTTATTTCATTTTTAAACTGCGTCCTCAGTTCTTCATCGTTCAGAGATTTAAACCTTTTCACTGCAACGTATGATTTTCCTCTCAAGCCTAAAAATTAATAAATTGGTTAATTAGTTAATAAATAAATAAATTAATTAATTAAAATATTAATAATGATAACGAAATGATATAAAATAAACTTGGAAGGACCTCTGTAAACATTAGCAAACCCTCCAGAACTAATGAATGCACCGCCTTTTGATACTGAATTATTGTTGAAATTGTCTGTCCATTTGCACAATATTTCATAGGGCACCACTTTTTTAATAAAACATTTTTCAATTAAATATTTTAATAAATAATTAATATAATTAAATAAATTTGAATGAATAAATATTTTTATATAATAAATACAAATGATTACATGAGTTTGTTTATAGAAAATTATATATCACCCATAGAGAAGTCATCATCCTTCTTATCACCAGCAGAATCGGATGTTGAATGGTTAGTTGGATCAGCTGTTTGAGGTGGAACATGGGTGGTTTGTGGTTGCCCCATGCCGGAGGCAGACTCTTTCAGAAATGTTATCGCTCTTTCGTGTTTCACTTTCTCCAAGACTCCAATGACGTCTTGAAATGTTATGTTATCCAGCATCCAGGCTTCAAATATCTTCTTTGCTGGGTTTTCTGACCGTTCAAATACTCTTCAAAAAAGTATTTTTCAAATTAATTATATTTGTTTCATATTAATTTGTTCATGAGTGTTGCATTATTTGATGATTCTGTATACTATATGTCAGGGGTGGGCAAAATTTTTGCTGCGAGGGCCACATTGAGAACTATTTTAGCTTTGGAGGACCGCAAATGTACTTAAATAGCAAATTTTTCGACCCGGAGAAAATTTTTTTAAGGTTTGTGGTTCATTTTTGGGCCGTAGTTTGCCCACCCCTGCTATATGTCATCATATTATTTTAATGTTTTAAAGTTATAGTTAATTTATTGGAACATAACAAACATAACAAAATATTTTTTTAAAATAAAAACTGACTGCATTTCATCCCATGAAAATCTCGGCTCGGAGCTATTTTTTTTAAATATTTCCCCAGCAATATCCTTCCACTCATTGTGTATGATGTTATAAAATTTTTGGGCTTTGCAGTATGAAAAGTTTTTCTTAAAGTTTGTTGACAAGTTCATCATGATTTCAATCTATCAATTCTATCATGAAAAATATTTACTAAACACGTTGGAACAATACATACATACATAACAACAAATAACTAACTAACTAACAACTATTTCATAAGTTAGCAATCTATCTATTAATAATTAATTCTAATATTAAAATTCACTCATTGACAGCGAAAAATAATTTTCTAACCAGATGTTTTGTTCGTACATGTTAATAAATATTTAAACACTAATTAGTGAAAACAACGTTTGAGATGGGATTTTTTTGATCCGAATTTACGATTTCATTTTATATTACATATCCAAATGTGGAAATTACGCTCTTGGGATTTCCACAAACAAGGAAGTGAATTAAAGTTCTTAAATTTGCTAGATATTGAATATAAATTTTACGAACGCAACTTATGAGTAATATTTTAATTAAAAAATTATTTTTTAACTTTTTTAAAATTAAAATTCTATTATTATTTTCTTTAAGAATATTTTTTTAGACTTTTAATAGTTCAAAACCTATTTATAGTTTTTGGTTATTTTTATCAAAAAAATTGTCAAGCGCCCACCGCAGACGATCTAGTCCGTTTGCGAGGGAGGTTTGCATTTTTTGTTAGCACAGTTTGCGCATTTCTGCTTTTTTCGTAAATTTCTTTTTAGAATTTTAATTTATTTAACGTCAGATATTTCATATAATTAAACTGTCAATTTACTAATATTTTTAAAGATTTGGTGGGAACATATTGAAAATACAGACGATGTCGAAAATAAATTTGGTGTACTCGTGCAAAAAGTCTTACGGACCTTGTGCTAAAAGAGCGAGATGCGATCAGGTCGTCCCCGCACTAGCAACACCATCATCATCTTCTTCGGCATCATCATTAACCTCATCATCAAAGGATCAGAAGTCTTCCATTGGATACTTCGACTTACTGCCTTACGAAATGAATTTTTTAATCTTCTCAAAGATGACTGGTATTTTATTTTAATTTTTACAATTTACATTTATTTCTTCTTATTAATGAGACGTAAATAAGCGTCGTGATTAAGTTAAAATAATGCATTTTATTTCATATTAGCTCTAGAACTAAGCTATTTGACCATCACTTCCAAAGCCATGAGAAATTTAGTAGAGTCATACAGAAAATCAGAGAAGGGACTTAAAAATATTCTTACATATCCATTTGCACATTCTAAACCAATCCCCGTTGATGACGTGAAATATTTGAAGCAGTTTAGAGATATAGGTATTCATTAATGATTAATTACTTTATGATTTTTTATTTTTTTCAATTATCAACTTTGTAAAATCATTATTATAGGTTTACTATTGAAACGTTCAACATGCTTATATAGCACAAAAGACCGATTAAATCTCATTCTCACATTTCTAAACAAGGTTTTTAATGATTTATGTTTATAAATAATTTATATATTATTCCTGACTATTTATTATATTCCAACCAATCTTGTTCAGTTCCAATGTAACTTGCACCATGAGTGTTTTGCCACCCACAGCTGTATCTCCTTGACTTGTTATGGGATGATGCTGCACACAATTATTGCTGGGTGGGATGATAAGGAGTGCACAAAAGCTTTTGAAACTGTCTGCCACATCAGCTGCATGGACCACTTCCTAAATTACTTGAAGATTAAATCAAATGGTGATGGTTTTTACAAAAACAAACTACAATACAATAAACTAATTTTCGAACTTAGTAATTTTTTGAAAAATAAACATTTATTTTGAATGATTTGGGATATCAAATTTCCATTTGAATTAATGACGTAGATGAATTGTTCTACATGAATTGATATTAACTTTGAAATGTCATTAAATTTAGTAGGCTTGTCCGGTGACATTGAGCTGCATGTAAGATATTTCTTTCGTCGAGTTTTCTTCAATAACTTCAACTCAAAAGCAGAAAAAGCTTTCTGGTTAAGTTTGTTGCTGAAGAGGTTTTCGTGTGCCAACAGGGCTCAAATAATTTTCCTCCTTTTTGGACCTTCTACAAAAGGTTCTCCTACCATAATAATTCATTTCAGAATCTAATGTGAATGTTATGATGATTATGAATCTAATGTGAATGTTTTCTGATGATTATGCAATTATCAGATGGTGTGCAGTGGTATGAGGTATGCGAGAGCACTCCGGCCAACAAAGAACAGACAGTTTTATGCTTTGGCAATATATCAAACGCCCTATTACTTCTCACTACAAACACCACTGACTGGAGTGAGGATGACATTATTGACATTTTCTATAATCTCATCGGTAATTTTAATTGAATTTTAAATCATTTAGAAAATATTCAATACTATTTGCCCAATTAAAAATTTATTTAAAAGTTTAAACCTACTTAAAAACACTGAAACCATTTCAAGGTTACCCTGAGGAATGGTTGTCAGAGAACGTTGCCAGCTTGCTGTTTTTGTTGGGCCAGGGAATTACAGAAAAGATTTTGGCTATCAAAGCCAGTCAAGGTAAGATTTCGGAGCTCTCCTACCTTATATCATCCCTTGGCATAGTTAGTAGCTATTCTTTTTTATATTGTATATGTATTTCAATGGGTTTACATCGTAGAAAATGATTTTAAATGAAATTTCAGACTAAGGAGTTTTAGTATTTCTGTGATGAATTATTAATATTGGTTTTTGTAACTTTAAATAATTCTTAGCTTAGCAGCTGTGCGTCAATAGTTTTATATATATTTGCGTGTAGACTCCATTTTTTTTATTGTATTTTTTGTTTCGATTTTTTTTTTGTTAAAATAAACAATACTTTACTTTAAAACACAGGTGTGCCATAAACAAAACCACCCCATGACATTCATTGTGAATATAATCAGAAAGGTGATGTCCACGTTCAACACGGGGAGGAGCCAAAAGAATTTTTTGCATTCTGTCATCGATATGTTTCGAGAAGTGACTTTTGATATCTTTGATCTTGGAGAGCCAGGTTAGTTATTTCAATCACGTTATTCTTATTAATGTGGTTTACATTTTTCATTCGTCTTTTTTAGATTGTAAAAAAACCTAAAAAATTACTGTTTAAGTTAAAAATGTAATGAAGGTTTTATAGTCTAAATGATGTAAGTGAATTGACAAAAGTTGAAATAATTACAGTAGACGACGAGACAATGAGAGATGTCCACACCCTCCTGAACACGCAAGCATCCCTGTCCAAAGAAATTATTCTTCTCGCCTTCAAGGATCAGTTAATTGTTGATCAACCTGTGACAAAAAATTGCTTGAAGAGTAATGATAATGATGGTATCGATGACGATAATTAATTCAGTTTATAAATGAATCGTTAGGTATTAGTGATCTATCCGTTTTAATATCAAAATGATACCTCAACTTCGTGCTGAACGTTCTCATTTCATTTAATGGTTTAAAATTATACAACTACTTTTTCTTGTTTTTTGATTTCAACACATTTCATCACATGTATTGTTCCAAGTGACTGTTTCATACATATTTATTGTTTTTCGTTCACGTCATTTTTCAATTTTTACACTTTAAACTTTTACAAATTTAAATTATTATTAATTGTAAATAAATTGAATTCTCATTGTTCAGTAGCTTATTGGATTTTTTCACATTTATCGCGTTATTTGAACTGTTTTATCCATTAAAAGTTTTGTCATTTCAAATGTTTTGTTACTCGATCATAAATTGAAAATTGCCATCACATGACAGTTAGGACGGGGACGTAAGTGAGTTTACAATTATCCTGCTGGATATTTTTTCTCAACGAGAGACAGATCCTGCCGTCGATATCCAGGCTGGTGTCCTTAACACGGATTTCCTCTTCCAGCTTCACTTGCACTTTATGCAGTCTCTCTATGGATCTTGTGACGGCCTGGAGTTTCGATTTCAACATAACTACCTCTTCTCTTATGGCAACTAATTCTACCTGCAAACTGTAACATTAGCGATAGTTAATTTCAGTTATGAAAGACAGCATATTAGGTCGTTAGACGTTAGGTCAATTAATGTAATATTTGAAAGTAGAAACTGTTTTTCGACCGACTTGCTGACAACAATGTCTCGACACAGTTCCATCTCGATTCTTTTGTTCCTTTCTTGCAGTCTCGTCTGCGCTATCTGCAGCGGTACTTCCTTATCAACGATGGCTTCCTTTATTTTCTCAGCCACCTTCTCTTGTTCTTGGATTCTAGTATTCACCTGAAAGTGTATTGTTATCAGGAAACATGGTTCGATGGTATTTCATTTGTGGTGAAGTGTTGCGAATTAATTTTGTTCGCATCCCAACAAATCCTTCACGTCCTTGATGCCATCGTCTATATTATGAGTTTTGTGAAAAAACTCATTCTTTGAATATAGTAACGTTTATTTAAAATGAGAACACACTAGTATTCACCTGTTGAAGATGCGACTGTAGATTATTTCTAACAATCAGCAAGGTTTGCACCCTGACTTTTAGTGCCACATTGACAGAATTCGAATGGTTCCACATTTCGTTCTCGCACCATTTGATCTGCTCCTTAATTCTGTTGCACAATTTCATGCAGCCTTCCCGCTCTTTTTGACTACGTTGCATGTTGTCGTACGAATGTTTCGCCCAACTTAATGGATGTGAAAATCTGTTTTGGAATTTTTTCCGCAGTATTTTCAACGTAACATGTAGCTACCTACTATTAATGAATTGTTAACAAATGGATAAACATATCACTATGACAAATCAAAATCAAAAACATCCCAACGTTCCACAAATAGTCAATAAATTTTTGTAAAATTGCATTGCAAACCAAAGAATCAATTAAATCGTGAATAAAAATGTTCAAGTTACGCGGTTGTCATATTATCGATAAGCTCGCTGGAGTTCAACTTCTCAACTTTGTTGTGTAGTTGGTACATTTCGCTGTCCAACTTCTGCGCGTGTGTCTTGTTCCTAACATCCCTTTCAAGCGCTTCTAGGGCCGTTGTACTTGTCCTTACAAAGTGAAATTTCCGAAAAGATGAATTTTGTCATAAAAATCAAAGAAAAAGTTCATGATGTGACTTGAAATGACTGTGTTTACCTGGGTTGCTTGCATTCTATCTGATTCAACAAAATAATTTTTTGGAAAAATTCTACTTAAAAATTACTTCAATTGTTCCTCTGCTTTTGTAGATAGGTCCTTCAACCTCCTCTGACATTTTTTCAGGGTATCAATTTCCTAAAATATTTTTTCATTAATGAACGTTACCCTCTTTTCCAAAGTTTTACTTAGTAAGTGAATTTTTATTAAACTAATAAATAAAAACGAATTTCAGAGCAACGAATTGTAAATAAAATGACCTTGTACAAATTGTTCTCAACTTTATCTCTGATGGCATCGATTCCAATCCTCTTCTGTCTCTCGTCCAAACACTTGAGTGAAATGATTAGTGGGCATGTGATTGATTCTAAATGTCTTTCCAGGTTCATCTGACTGGTCTGTTTTGATGATTACAATAACGACAGGTACAACAACGTTTGTAATGAGTGCAACTGATGATGAATAATGATGATAAAGTGATTAGAGTGATTAAATTGATGACAACACAAACAGCAAATGACTTGACAGTCAAACCACTAACAGATAGTTCGTACATGATATTCCTCATGAGCACAATCTCCTTATTCAACTTTTCCTTCCAATACGATAAGCTGGAAATTCTCGCCCCTGTTCACACGAGATTATGTAAAATATTGATGACTGCCTTATTCAAATGTACATCTTTTTCAAAACAAGTGCTCAGTGTATAAATTGTACAACATATATTATGTACTTGTACAGTCAACGAGTTGTGTCCTTAAATAAGAATATCTCGTTGTTGTTGCGTGTACTGTACATACTTTGTTGTTGTTGTTGTTAGATTTCAAATGAACTGACCGAGACTGTGCGTACTGATCAGTTGCCTCTGTTTGGTTTCGTGGTCAATAACTTTCACGATGTCGATCACTTCGTCTGCCAACTTGCGCGCTGAATTCCTCTCACTTATCGAGCGTTTGCAGTGCTTCTCATTCAACATCCGCCACTCATTCTCCACAGGCGTGTTCAGGACGTCATATCTGTTTTGTATATTTATTTATGCGTGTCTGTTAATATCGAAGAAGAATCGTTGAAGTTGGAGTGGAACATTGTTTGTTACATCATATGACCGGTTCGGTTCGCTGTTTATTGATATTTATAATTTGGTGCTACTATTGCTTTATTACATGCAATTGCGGACACACGTCACGATGAAAAGTGTGCACTTTATAATAGCACTTGAAAGGAGAAAAATACTTGATGATCGATTGTGAGAGAGGCCGATAAATGGTGGCAGCCGTATTCAACCGATCCAACTCAACTGACGACACCAGCGACCTGCCACTGTGGCACCTGCTGGAGCCGTTGTTGTCATGGTAGGATATCGAGGTCCTCGGCCGTGCTGGCGTCTTTATCAAATGCATTTTTCCTTCCTTCCTCTCCTGGATGAATGCAGTAGACTCATGAAATTTCTGAAAATATTCTTTTGAGGTTATCAATTTTCGTAGACTTCGATGTTTAATACATCACAATACTTAAGTAAAATTGAAAAATCTTTGTACGTTCAATTAAATGTTAATATTGCGGACACACATTATGATAAAAACTCTTTGAAAAAACTGACGCATAACCATATTAAACTGAAAATACGACAACGTATACTCTTATTATATAACATATTCATATCACACCGTATAAGTATATTATAACATCGAGTGCGTGCATTAAAAATGAAAGCGTATAAATTAAAGTTAGAAGAGTAGAGATGTTACCATAGGAACCGCTGTTCTTGCTATCAGTCCGTCATATACATCGATATAAACCGAATGATAACAGACGATAACATCATATCGTTTACATTCAAGGGCACACACACACACACACGCACGCACACACACACGTAAATCAAAGTAATATAAATTTTCTTTATTTTTATTCAGGAAATATTTAAAATCCTGTATCTACTAAATCTTCATAGTAGAGAAAATATCACTAGAACACGGACACGTTTCATTAAAATACATTCAATGGCTATAAAAAAGTACAAAATTGAAATAAAAAATAACAATGAATTGACAATAAAAAACATAAATGGAAAGAAACTCAACAGGGAATATGTATCAATTATTAACAAACGCTATAAAATAAATTAACTAACCAACAAACTAATTAAACAAACATGAAGGAAACAAATAAACGAACAAGCATATCTTAAATAAAAATTCTTTAAAAATATTCCTCTAAACATTATAACGGTTACAAGTTAAAAAATAATAAGAATTTTTCAAAATAGATTTTCCAACTTCAGTTCAATTTATGATTTTAACATCCAACAATCGACACCCGGCCAAAACGAATGCAGGTGCAACAACAATCAAGTCAGTCAGTCATCTTGCAGTTTGTTCAATAAACAAAACATAACGCATCCATTATATAACGATAACTCATTTTTAAACGTCAAAAAACAATTAAAAGGTACTAAAAGCACAAGTGAAAAAGTTAATTAATCAAAGTTTATAAAACTAAATAACGATAAAATAAATTAAAATAACATTCATACATTGAACAGACGCTACGAATAACAAACATACATTCAATGAATATATCTAGTTAAATATTTTCTATAAATACAATAAAAAATAAAATAACAAAATAAATTTGAGATCAGAACATGTTGAGGATTTTTCTGACACATGGTCTGTGGGATTTGAACTCCCTGGCTTGATGGATCAGCTGCTGTTCAGTCAATGTCAGACCACACGCTATCCTCAAAAAATCCTTGCTGTCCTTTATTTCGGGATGAAAATAAATGGATATGAATAAATGAATGAACGAATAAGATGATGATGAAACAATTATGATATACTACTACTGCTGCTGGCTGCCACTACTGCCACTACAACTACAGCTACTACTACTGCTACCACCACTACTATTATAAGCTACAACAACTACTACTCAACTACTACTACTACTATTACTACTACTACTAATAATAATAATTATAATAATAATAATGGTAGTATTAATACCGACAGAACATTCATGGGAGAAGCCAGCAGTCGCAAAAATAAATGAAGAGTTGCTGAGTCTGAGTGAGCTGTCGTCATCATTATCATGACTCTCGGGGTCATTGTCAACGTCACCCTCGACATTCACCTCCCTCTCATGAAGGTGGGACTTGCCATCTTCGATGAGGGCGTGGGGTGAAAAGGTCATGGCCTTGTCAAGTATCAAGCCTTTTGTCTGCGGTGTTGTTGGTACATTTATTTTTTTGTAAGTTGTAACAACCTCTCAAAATTTTTTAATTTTTATTTTAAAAGTTGAATCTTCAAAGTTTTATATTAGCTATGAAATATGAAAAAATGGAAGAATTATTAGACAGACTCAAAAGTTTTTAACAAAAGAAAACGTTTAAAAAACAAAAAAAAAAAACTAAAAAAACTAACAGGTGTCTCTGGAAAGTTGATGAAATTGTTGAAGGTGATGTCAGTTGTAGAATGGTTCCACTTCATTTTAACTTGCAGGTGATGTTCTACATCAGATGATGACGAGGAATTCGATGGAATGCTCTCTTGCTGTTTATGAGCGCGTGTGAGTGTTGAATAGGAATGAGGTGATGTTGAAAAAGTTTAAGCCATTGAATAATTACAACTTTGGTAAAATATATTCAAGTTAAATGAATAGTGAAAGAAATTTGGATACATGTTTGAGACAAAAACCCACTGCTTTTACGGATGATGACTTCAAAGTGGAGTCATTATCGTTGTTGTTGGTGGTGTCATTGTTGTTGCAGTCATCGTGAATGACGTCATCGTGGTTTTTACTTTCGTGCCCATCGTTGTTGTTAGTCTTGTTCAAGTGATCCAGGTCTCTTTCCAGGATTTCGTGCAGCTCATCAATTGTACTCTTGGAATCCTACACAGACACACAATGTTTTTGTGTTAAATTAAGTAGAATCTGGAAATTTACAAGATACGTTAAATACACAAATAAGTAATTGAATTTAAACAATGTCCAGTCCATATATACGAGATATATTTACTGCATGATAATCCAAACAAACCATATTATACTAATTGACAGCATAAATGCACAAAACAAGTTATGAGAAGCCAGTCATCTAACCCACCAAATCTTGTTGAACAATCCCATTCTTCCTCTCAAGGTCAGCCAGGGCGTTCCTAAATGGAGAGGGTGTCCGCATGGGTGTGCGCCGACTGCCCACCATCATCTTGCTGCTTGTTCTTATTTGTGGCGGTGGTGGTAGTGTGGTCAAATTAATTAATATGAAAATGAACAATATTCTTATCGTAATTGCAGCAGTCAGACACAACTGCAGACAGACACAACTGCAGACAGACATAACTGCAGACAGACATAACTGCAGACAGACACAACTGCAGACAGACATAACTGCAGACAGACATAACTGCAGACAGACATAACTGCAGACAGACATGACTCCAAACAGACAGCTGCAGACAGACAAAATGGAGACAAACTTCGGTGTACTGGGGCACTCTTCATTTCTGTTGATGATGTTCTTTAAAATTGGAGAGGAAGCATTCTTTATCTTTGGACTGTTGAAAAACTGTTAACCATTTATAATAATAATTGTAGTCACTTTATAAAATAAAAATCAAGAAAAATGAAGAAACAATAAAAACAATATAATAATATATACAATAAAACTGCGTTATTGTTTGATTTGAAATAAATTTACATGCAAGGCAAGAACTCATGTGAGCCAGAATTACCTGGGATGGTGAGAAATTGGAGCACTTAACAGGGGACACCCTGTCATCATAGCGATAATGATGAAGATGGTGGTTTCTACTGTGGTGGTGGAGGCAGAAGCTATGGTAACGATGCTGATTATTACAACTGTATTCATTGTAGAGAGGATGTTTTTCTTGCTTGAATTTAAAGTGTTTTCTTCTGCACAAGATGGCAGGTATGTGCTTTCTCTTGTTTTTTGTTTGACCTGGAAGTTTGTTTGGTCGTGCAAAAGAGATTCTTTTTATGATTTCAAAATCTATTTTAACCATTTGACAGTCATCCATCATTGATCTATCCATCTATCTAACTATCTATCTATCCATCCACCTATCTATATACCTAACTACTTATCCATCCATCTATCTAACATATGTAAATTTTTCAAGTTCAGTTATGCATTGAGAGAGAATAAAAGTGTCACCCAGTTTTGATGGATAGTCATCACAATCTGCAGGAAAAAGCAGAGTTTTGTCACTCTGTTGCTGTTGATTTCCATGATGGTGATGGAGAGATGGAGGAAGAGAAGGAGGCAGATGAGGAGAAGAATGAAGGGTAGGGTTGTGATTATGATTCTGAAAGTTTACATCGATGATGAGACCAGTAGAACTGATGCAGTTGTTGTTGCTACTGGCACTAGACAAGATGTTGCTGGTGCTGTTGTTGCCGTTTTGGTCACGCTGATTGTTGTTGCTAGTGTAGAGGCTGTAGTTCAAGTTTTGTATAATCTCAGGCTCTATCTCTTGGGCAATGCTTTACAAAATTTAAGTTTAACAGACATCACAACCAAAACAGGCAATAGTAATTATAAAAAAAACTGATTTTAGAAAAAGAAATATAGAAAGGGAAAAATGTATAACATATTGTTTGAGAACCAATCCTGTACAGATTCATATCGATTGCTGCTGATGCTACAAATGTTGATGTTGAGACTATTGTTGCTGCTGTTGTTGTTGACGCCGTTGATGTTACATGCATTATAGTTTAGTGGCTCTATTACAGAAGACTGGATGTCTGGAAATAACATTTATGATTAATAATAACAACGCTGATGTATCAAGAGAAAATGCTGTTCACAAGTAAAAACTAAACAAAAACAAGATTGAGAAACTCATCTAAAAATTAGTGTGAAACTAGTAAAATGAAACACAGAATTTTTACTTAATTTTCCAAGATTAACCACACCTAATTATTTACTCAAAACTTTCAAAAATTGTCACTAAATAATAGCGCCATCGGTTTCGCTTCAGTTGTTTAAAAAGTTTTATCATTTATATCATTGAGGAGAATTAAGAGTATTTTTTAAAATCACCAGCGAAAATGAAGAAACAAAATTTTATTTCGGAATAAATAAATGTATATTCATTAGGAATTAAATGGAGAAGCAAATGAATGAATGAGTGAATGAAAGAACGAATAAATGAACAAAACATAAAACATCGGCAGTACATTCATGATTTCTCTGTATAGGGTAAACATTCATCTGCAGGTCACTCTGTGGAATGAAAAAAAAATACAGAAAGAAGTAAAATAACAAAATCGAATGTTATAAAAGTTAAAAATGAAGCGGGAAAATTGAACGAAATGAGAATATAATTTATTTACATTGAAAGAGTGATTATTTTTCTTGTACAGTAAAAGGCCATTTGTATGGTTAACGTCATTGTTATTGTTACCAATAGCAGCACAGCCATTATAGCTGTGAATGTTATGAATGACGTTGTTACTGTTGGCATTGATGTTATTGCTGTTGATGATTTTTGGTGTCCTCTGGGGGAGTGAGAAATACATTCGATCCGGCTTCATGTCATCCGACTCAAATTTTCTTCTTATCGTTGAATTCCAGTGATTTTTAATGGCATTGTCTGTCCTGAATGTTGTTGTGTTTAAAACAAATTTTTCGAGACATATTTGAGAATAAGAATAAATTAAAATTAAAGACAATGTTTATTGTTTTAACTAGATAACCATAAAATTTGTAAAATTATTCATTAAATATTCAATAAGAAATATCTAACAAAAATGACATAAAATTAGGAAAAAGGTAATTAGGAAATAAGAAAAAAAGAGACCTTCCTGGCAGATACTTGGCAATCTTTGCCCAACGATTGCCAAGATTTTGATGAAGTTCATAAATCATTTGGTCTTCTTCCTCTGTCCATGCTGTTTTCTTTATCTCAGGATTCAAATGGTTGTGCCACCTAGAGGTTGAAAAATAAAATTCTCATTTAAAAAAACAGACAATTGACAAATAAGTTGGGTGGAATTGAAATTATGAAATATTGAGCCGAAACCGTTCTCTGCATTGCTTTCCAGTTCTACCCTTGATGTATTTTGATATGATGGTCCATCTTTTTGGACCATGCTCTGATACTAACTCCAAAACTTTCTTATCTTCCTGCGCAGATATTTTATCAGCATTTTATGAAACAACTGAAAATAAAACCAACAAATTTTTATACATGAAAGTTAGTTGAAAATTATAGTCTTGACATACTTTTTGATACAGAGATATTATTTTTATAAAATTTTACTCAAGTCAGTACAATCATGTACAAGGTAAAATAAAATAAAAAAATGTCTTTTTGACACTTGCTTTGTAGAAAACTAAACAAAAACTAACTACAATCAAATCTGTATTTGCTTTAATTAAGTAAATAAGAAACAAATATAAAGTCAATTAAAGTTGCTAATATTAATTAAATATTTTACAAGCAAATGGTTTGAGTAAAAAACATAAAATAATAGCACCTCTTTGGTCCATGATCCTTTTATAAGATCTGGGTTAAGTACCTTGGACCACCTCTGTTGACACTGGACTACAGATCGATCTGGGAAGAAACTTGCTAGGAGGGGCCAATCCGGGTGACCGCAAGAATTTACTATAGCCATCAATTTGGAATCCTTAAAACATTGTCAAAAAAAATAAGGAAATAGTGTGAACATCAGATTATAAATGGATCTAAAATGATGGTACTTGAATTATGAAACTAGAATAAACTTATAAAACCTACTTCTTCCTTGGTCCATTTATTCTTATTGATGTACTTCTTGCCTTTGCCTACTATGCCTATGCGGTTAGAATCATGATCAAAAGTTTTTTTCTCGCTGTTCTCCTTACCATTCAAGAGGTTTTGATGATTTCTAGGTGATCATGAAAAAATTATATCACAAATAAAAGATCACAGAGTAAAAAAACAAAAAATTGAAATTATAAGCAAGCTATATCTGTAAACCTGTAATGGCAAGATATAAAATCATCAACTTTTTTATTTCCAGGAACATGATGGAACATTTTAATACGAAAAAACCAAAGGTGGTTGCAGTACAAGGTTCTTTTCTTTCCTACAATGAAAAATAAATTATGGACGAGTAACTAACGCAGCCGACAGCGTGCAAGCCATTCAAAAACTGACTGGCCAATAAGGTGACACATCATTAATCAAAATCATCATTATAAATTACGAGTCTTAAAAAAGCAAATGTGTGTCAATCAAAATAATTTTTAAAAATTTGATAGTCATTAATATCACAAACATGTTTGTTACTAATATAAAATGATTAAACAACTTTAAATAACCTTAAAAAAAGCTTCACAGTCTACTTGCAGAGTTTTAAGGAGCCATTCCTCAACAGCACAGTCAGCTGATCAGACAGCAAATTGAAAATTGAAATGGCGGACAGGAAATGCGAAGGAAGTGATTCAAAGAAAATCTAAAAGTGAAATCTTTTAAAATTCACACGAAAAACGTTGCTAACTTTTGAAAAACAACTCCAGATTAAGACTGTTGAACCTCACTTTAATGTCGAGTTAAATGTGTAACCTCGGGTCAACTTTTTCGGCCAACACGCACAAGGAAGCAGAAAGCATCCATCCATCCACCCATCCGTCCACCCATCCATCCACCCATCCATATATCCATCTATCTATCCACATTTGATTCCATCAAATCGATAGATATTAATCTTGTGCCATGAAATTTATGCGTGTGTGTCACATGTTTGATCTGTTGTATGTGGCCATGAAGACGAGATTTATAGATGCGATTGAGCAATAAAAGAAATAGAATTCAAAACAGACTGCTTTCTTTAACTGAAGGGAAGCAGTAAATAAATGATAAAATAACGGTGTTAATAATAAACTCAGGAACACGTGAACAACAATAAAGGAAATTGGAATGCTTATTTTTATGCATTATTTCTTTATCTGCAAGTAGCATTCGTCCGTACCATCTTCCTTTTACTAATTCATTTATTCATTCATTCATTCGTTCGTTCGTTCGTTCATTCGTTCGCTCGCTCGCTCGCTCACTCACTCACTCACTCACTCACTCACTCACTCATTTGCTTTTTCGTTCATTCCTTCCTTTGTTCCTCCTTAGTTGCGTTTCTTCTTCATACAACCAGAAAATAAACATTGAACACGTGTACAAATTGCATGAAGTTTATCATTGTGAAGTGTGAACTTTGCAGTAAATATCTCAAACAGCAGCAGCAATTGATCAAATTCGAAGTGGCTCGCCTAGCACAGACGCAAACACTTCTCTAACATTATACATTATTTGTTAAGAAATCCGCACTCCAAGTGTTATCATCTTGATTGACTGACTTGCACAATTTAATACGAGAACCTCACCTGAATATTCCAAATATGCATCTGTGAACCCTTTATGCCAATACAATTTCTCTATTTTTTTTTTGTTCATGTCATTAACAAAGGAAAAACCGATGTTTCTAAAGTTTTTTCCCCAACAACGTATGTATTTCAAAACGCTTGTTCAAATATATATATATATATATATATATATTTATATATATATACTTATATATTTATATGTTTGTTTAAAGGTTATACAATATACCAACATACATTAATTGTCAATACGAAAGTACGTAAAGAATTCATTATTAATTATTGTTATGTATTTATTTCACACATCATCCGGCATCATCATCATCACTGCTGTCTCTACGGAATATGAAACAAATTCATTTATAAACACGCAATATGTTCTTTTTCTTATAAAGTAAAAAATACAAATACATCCAGATATTTTATAAATTGTATCAACATATTAACGTTCAAATATAATATATAATAGCAATTGGAAAGAAAATTTAAGCTGGTAGTTGTAATGCATGCATTGTCGGACAGTAGAAAATAAAATAGGAGGGCACAGCCAAACGAAAAGTACAAAAAAAAGATTTAACATCGTTTCGAATGTATGTGAATGCATCTGTACATGTGTGTGTGTGTGTGTGTCTGTGTGTGTGTGTGTGTGTGTGTCTGTCTGTGTGTGTGTGTGTGTGTCTGTGTGTAAATGAATCATTGATCTGCTTCACCGTTGAAATATAAGTACGCGCTGTTGTAATACGTTTGTGTTTTTGCGCATGTGCGCTGGCGTGTGTAGGTTTATTTGTATGTACTGTGTGTGTGTACGTATGTGTTTGTGTTAATTTAATGTGCGTGTTTGTGTGTTTGGGAGTGTGATTGCGATGTACGTGTGTTTATGCCTGTCAGTGTGTGTATGTGTGTGTTTGTGCGCGTATGTTTGTGCGTTCGTGTGCGTGTGTGCATAAGCCGACGTAAGACGTGCATAACAAGGATTCGTGGTTTTTCATTAGCAATTATGAAATGTATCCGCTTTGTTGAGTACGTAAGTAGAGGAAATTATGTGATCATCTTGGTGCTCGTGCTCACAGCAGCAGAGCATAACAAACAGTAATATCCAATAAGCAATGTCTCAGCCCAGCCATGTACCTACACCACCACACAAAACATCTCTCACTCATATGCGCAATTTTAAAACTGTAATATGACGCCGATTCCAAAAGTTGACTTCATTCAGAATAGATGCACACCACACCATACCACAACCACATCACACCACAACCACAACCACAACCACACCACACCCCAACCACACCACAACCACACCACAGCTATCCATTGTTTCCTCCATTCTCGTTTTATGGACAGGTTTCAAAGATTTTTAATAATGCCATGAAACAGAAAAATAAAAAACTTATAAATAATAATATCAATTATAAACACAAATGTTAGTAGAAAATAATAATATAAATAACAGAATGAAAGGAGCATCTATAAATTGCGTCTATCAAATGCTCTGCAGATGGTGAAGTGAGGTGAATTGATGGTATGCATTGGAGGATGGTGAAGAAGATGTGGTGAATTGTTGATTGAGTGCTGGAAGGTGAATGAGTGAAAGATGATCGAACGAACGAACGAAAAGATGAACAAACCATAAATTATTGATCGAGGAAAATGAATAAATGAATGATTAAATAAATTGGTAAATGATGAATGAAGGAATGAACAAATGAATGAGTGAATGAATGAATGAACAAATGAATGAATGAATGAATGAATGAATGAATGAATGAATGAATGAATGAACGAACGAATGAATGAATAGATAAACAAAAAAAAACAGATGACAGACAAAAACTATTATAAAAATTTATATTTAAAAAGAACGAAAAAGATAGATAGACGACAATGAAAAATGAATAAATAAAAATAATTTTTTTTTGGACCAGGCAACAGAAAAATATCCGCAGAGTGACTTATTGTGCTGCAGATGGTGGTTGGTACAAAATTGGGTCATTGGAAACAATTGGGTCACTACTAAAAAACAAAATAACAACCAAATAGGGCCAACGAAATAACAAAATTTGTGAAACGACACCGAAAGTAAAAGATGAGAATGAAAACATTTGGTTGAGATCGAAGGAGTACGATATGCTGAATTATTTATGAATCTTAAAATTATTTAATTGATTAAAAAATTTTAAAAAATAAATACGAATGAACAGAAACACACAGGCATTCCACAAAGTCTACGCAAGAAATGGAGTGGCTCTCCTTGCGTTCAAATCGAGGCACTGCAAGACCAAGACCAGGCTCCTTAACCGCTACGCCATCGAGCCTCCTTTAAAAACGTCCACCATTAAGTAAAAAATATTATTAAACATAAAAAAGGTTAAAATGTAAAAAAAAATTATAAAGACTTTGAACGAAAACAAATAAAAAATAATCAAAAATATAAAATGAACTGAGTTTTTGAACGAAAACAAATGAATGGATGAGTAAAAATGAAAAATGAATGAACGAACGAACAAACGAATGAATTAATGAATGAATGAACGAACGAACGAATGAGTGAATGAATGAGTGTAAATGAATAATCGACTGAACTTATAAACAAAGTGGATGTCAGATTGACAATTAGAATGACAGATTGACTTATAAGGATGAATTGAAACTGAACACACGATATAATGTAGGAATGAACGATCGAATGAATAAAAGAAGGAATAAATGAATGAATGAATGATTGAGTGAATAAACTAATGAATGAAAAACTGAAATAATAAACGAATGTGCATTCGCATAAACGAATGAAATATTTACAACAATGAACGAATTAAAACATTTTTCTTTTACAAAAGTATAAACATCAAAGCAAATTTAGTCATAGTCACAGTTATCATCATCATCATGATATTGATTAATAAAACGATTATTATCATTATATATAATAACATTTGGCGTACGTGTGTGTGTGAGCTTGTGTGTGTGTGTGCGTGTTGTGTGTGCAATAAAATATAATAAAATATATTCATATTCAATTTGTATACAACAACAACGCACACACACGCACACACGTCACGTTTACATTTATTATTATTAATTATGGTCTATATTATTCGAATATTTAAAAAAATATTTCAATAAATATTCTTTGATGAGAGTGCTCTGGCGAGGAGTGTGAGTCCCAAGGCAGCACTGATTTCTTTCCAATGCAAATCTTTCGTGCTATGAGTGTGTTTGTGGGTTTGTTTGTTTGTTCTGTGTGTGTGTTTGTATGTGTTTGTTTGTGTGTTTTTGTGTGTGTTTGTGTGTGGGTGTGTGTGCGCTTGTTTCTTTTTGTACTTCTGTGAACTTGTGGGGAAAAGTGTATACGTTTGTGTGTGTGTGTGTGTTTGCGTCGTTACTGCGATTAAGTGTGGCTTTGTCGAGTGAAAGCCGGTGATAGGTAAATGAATAAATAAATGGATGGATGGAGTGAATAAATGAATGAATAAATGAATGAATGAATGAATGTGTGGGTGAATAAGTTGACAAGTTAAAGATTGCGTGTGTAAAATGATTAAATAAAAGATGTGTGTATATGTGTTGTTATTATTATTATTGTTATTTTTGTCATTATTATTATTATTATTATTATTATTATTATTATTACAAATTTTATTGAAAACTACTGACTCCACAACAGAATCCGTCTTGTACTTGCCCTCAACATCCAGACAGCCTTTGAAGAAAATTTAAAAGCCACACTGTACACATACGCCCGCACCACTCAAGCATAGTAATAACAAAATAAATAATAATGTTATTAATAGAATGAATAATAATGATAATGATGATGGGAACAAATTTTTATTGAACAAAAAAATAAAATCAAATTGAAATCAATCGGAAATTATTAATAATATATAAGAGTGTAAATAAATAAATGTAAATAATTTATAAAATTTTATAAAAAGAAAAGAAAATCCATTAAAATGTAAAACCCCTAAAATAATAATAATAATAATAGTAATAATAATAATGCAAAATTGTACTATTTTTGAGACAAGGTAGGCCGAAGATTTCTACAAAAAAAAGTTGCCCTCACAAGAAAGATAGAGCAACTTTAACGAAATTATTTACTAAAATTAAAGAATTAAAAAAAAACTGACCGTCCTGTGTGGCATGTTGGTAGCCATAGCAACCATTTTCACGCGTCGGTGTGCTCCTGGATGAGCAAGATAGTTCCTCGTAGTCGTGGGAGCTGAGGGAGCCGGAAGTGTTGCGTTTCCGGTAGAGGTCAAGGTTCGAATCGAGGTCACGCATCACGTGATCGTCCGTGGCGTGCGTATAAGTGGGAGATGGTGGTGTGGATGAGATTGTTGGTGATGGCTGCTGCTGCTGCTGTAGTTGTTGTCGCTGCAGTTGTTGCTGCTGCAGTTGCTGCCGCTGTTGCAGCTGTTGATGTAATTGTTGTTGTTGTTGTAGCAGTTGTTGGTATTCTGATGTTGTGGTGTCTAGAATGGTGAACTGATTTTGCAAATCATTAATTTGTGTTGGGGATGGGATGAAATGTAATTGTAGTTGCTGCTGCTGCAGTTGCTGTTGCTGCCTTTGTAAAGAATCGTTAAGATAACGTTGAAGAATGCTCTGTTTAACTTTGGTCGACACGTTGCTTATTTGCTGTGGTAATTGTTGTTGTTTTTGTGGAATTGATTGTTGAAATTGCTTTTGTTGATGTTGTTGTATTTGGTTTTGTTGATTTTGACTGCGTTTGATTTGTTGGGGGTTAAGAATTGATGTTGCCAGCTTTGTTGCTGCTGCTGGTTGTTGCATCTCGTTAAGCTGTAGTTGTTGTCTGAATGGTGGTTGTTGTTTGAACTGTGGGTGTTGTTGTGGCTGTGGTTTGAAGTGCTGTTGTTGAAACGACATTGATGTCGAGTTTATATCTTCATGCTGGGAAACATTAACGGACGTTAAGGCAATGCAATCAAGTTTGTTAGCATTATTTTCTCTTCCTGACATCAAGGTTGATGTCATAAAGGTTGATGTCTTTGATGGCAATCTTGTTGCCGTTGTTGATTTCATTGTTGTCGTTGTTAGTGGTATCGTTTCAATTTTTGTTGCTGGTGTTGTTTTGGTTGATGTTGCTGTTGTTTTGGTTGCTGCTGGCAAAAAATTCGCAGGGGCGGCTGCAATTATTGAATAGCAAGTGTTGGTCGGTTGGACGATGTAGACCAGTTTCTGAATGCTCGGCTTTGTTAGCTGTGGATGTTGCAGCTGCTGCTGTTGCTTCTGTTGCTGCTGCTGTTGCTGCTTTTGTTGCATTTCCAGTTGAAAAATTTGTTGCTGTAGCTGCGAGGATTGTTGCTGGATAAGTAACTGCTGGTTCTTCTTCAAATCTTCAACATACTGCTGTTGTTGCTGCTGCCTTTGTGGATGCTGTTTTTGCTGCTGCTGTGGCAGTTGTGGCAAACGCCGTTGTTGTTCAGGAATTTGTTGTAAATTTGAATAGATTAGGCTGTCGTTATCATTGTTGTTGTTTATGTTGGCCACACTTTTCAAAACTTTGTTAATGTTGTTTATATTTCTCACATTATAAACGCTGTTGTTGTTTTTGATGTTGTTGTTGGGTTCGTTTTTAATTTGATTGTTCATATTGTCGTTCATTTTTACGTTAACATTGTACATTTTTTTGTTGTTGATTTTAATGTTGTTGCTGAGATTAAAGTTGTTGTTGTTGATAATGTGGTTGCAGTTCGTGTTGTTGTTATGTTGCACTTTAGTTACGAATCTGCAGTTCTTATTAGCTGCGAAGTTTTATATTTAACGTTAAAAATTTGCAAACATACTTGAATAATATGGCTCGCGATGATATATTAACCAATGTTTTAATTATTTTAATTATGTGTTAGTCTGGCTATATAACAAAACAACAACAACAACAAAAGCAACAACAACAACAGCATCAACAACAGCAAACAACAACAACAGTAACAAAACCTATAAAAACACTAACAAAACATCAACAGACATACATTAAAAACAACATCACCATAATGAATAACGAATAATAGACAAAATTCTATTTATTTGAATGTCAAAACTTTTTCCAATAATTCAACACAAATAAACAAATTAAATAAAAAAAAAATGAATTTACGATGCTTAACTTTTCAAAAACAATATTTTTATATAAAAATAATAAAAATTTTCAAATTTTTATCGCAAATAAATAGAGGCTAGAGGCAGAAAAACTGCAGAAAAAATATACGTTGATGAGAAATAACAATTAATGGCATAAATGTTTTCCCCCCTCTACAACATCATCAATAGAAAAAATATTCGTACATTGTGTTCGCTAAACAATAACAAAAAGTAACTTTTTCACACACACACACACACACACACACACACACACACACACACACACACACACACACACACACACACACACACACACACAAATGAAGAAACAAAGAAAATCGTTGAGGTACACATCACAAAAACTTCCTCTCTCCTAGACAGACATAAAAATACATTTTAAAGAAATCCAAAATAATGATTTAGACGTTTTTATTTGAAAACAAAAAAAAAAATCAAAAATATGTTTCTATTAGTTTTAAAAAGTTAAAAACAAGTCGAAAAAATATTGATATTAATCATAAAAATAATAATAATAAATTATTAATAGTAAATTTATAATAATAATAATAAATGATAATCAAACAATATTGACAGCAGCATTAACGTCGAAAATGCGATCAATCATAAAAATCTGTGAGCATACTCTTTTGAATCAATAATAAATAATAATAATAATAATAGTATAAATAATAATAATAAAATAATGACAATCCTAATTATAATAATTTTTTTTAATAATTTCAATTATAATATTAATATTACTATTGCTAATGCCATTAATAAGACTAATAGCATTTTCGTTATAGCATTTTAGTGTATATACATAAAGGGTACAGGTACACATACGCACATACGCATACATACACTGCACATACACATACATACACTACACATACACACATATACATGCACTCACAACACATACATACACTACACATACACATACATGCCGTCTCTACACATACATATACATATACACACACACACACACACAATTTTGGTGTATACAATACAGTACCGCGGTATTTGGAGCACATTTTTAACAGTCGAAGGAAAGGGGATAGATATTGATGAAAGATCGATACAATACAATTATTGTGATTGTATTGTTTGTCCCTCACAATTTTCTCCTATCTCTATTTTTATTTCTTTCATTCTTCTATATGTTTTTTTATCTTTCTTTCTGCTATCTTTTCATGTTTTTCTAATGATGTGTATTTTGTTCTCCTTTCATAACTATTTGATCTTATATTCATTCATTTTTTTTCTGCCTATCTGTCTGTTCATCTGTCTGTCTGTCGGTCGGTCTAGACATCTCCCCGGTTCCCCTCTAAATCTATTACTGTCTGTGTCTGTGTCTTTGTCTGTATCTCTCTCTCTTTCTTTCTCTCTCTCTTTATTTTCCCTCTCTTATCCATCTCTCTCTCTCTTTTTCTAAGACATTAGCATTATCATTACGATCACACTCATCCGTCAAAACTAATGCAATTACTTTGTCAAAATTAAATCCGTTATCAGAAATACCAACATCGTCGTCATCATCTACGTCACCGTCGTCTTCATCATCATCATCGTCATCGTATTCGTCATCATCACCGGAAAATGAGATTTGATGTAACGTCTGGAGCCTGTAAATGGAGCCTTCCAGATGATGATGATGTGCTTGTTTGTTGGATGTTTTTATGAGGAACGAATTTATTTTAATCAGCGCAGTAAATAAAACTGAAACACATAAAAATGCACAAAACACGCACGCACACACGCACATAACAAAACTGAAACACGTATAAATGCACACACACGCACGCACATAACCACGCAATCCCGTTTGCACACACCTTACATTTACTTACGAACGTATAGATAGTTTAAGAACTGTACTCTCAACAAAACAGTACTGGCACGCTACTTTAACGAATTTATAGAATTTTATTATTACGATGTGATCCAAAAATATTCTTAAACAAAAATCATGCTCACATTCAAACAAGAATCACAGAAATTCGTATTTCTACAAAAACGCTACAAAAACGCAGAAACTGGTTAACACAGGACAAATAGACAATTATGACAGACTGACAGACACACACACACACACACACACACACACACACACACACACACACACACACTGACCCACATACAACAGCACAAACAAACCCATTACCACCTACCCACACAAGCAAACAAGCACACAAAATCAAATATACTCACATAAGCACATAAACCACCGCAGTCTTAAAATAGTTCTCTCTGCATTTATAAAAACGAAATGAACATTTGCAGGCTTAGTGGACTCAAATAAGTGGAAATGAACTAGAGCACTCCTTGCTCGCTCGCTGCTTCGATGACCATCACTTTTCTAAGGCTTCTGCTGACAATTTGCACTGCAAGAATAACAAAGAACTGAATGATAATGATGCTGATGATGTTGGTTTGGATGTTGTTGTTAGTGTTGTTGTTGATGATGAAATGGGCGGCGATAGCGACGATGATGATGGTAGCAAGGATGATGAGAACGACGACGACGACGATGATGATGAGGATGATGATGATGATGAGGACGATGATGATGAGGAAGACGACGACGAGGACGATGAGGAAGACGATGATATAAAGATGAATGTTGCAGGGGTAGTGCTCGCCGACCAATATCATTTATGATCTGATGGCTTTGGAGACGAGATGGAAGGCAGGAAGGAAATGAAAAAGAAAAAAGAAGAAAAACATTCATAGAGGATGTTATTACAAGCCAGATTTTTATTTTACAACCACAAATTGATTTAATTCATACAATCTTGAAAGTTTATATTCTCATATAAATCTGTCTATTACATTTTGGCAAAAACACATCTGTACGTACACGTAACTGCAAAGCTTTACGTACACATAACCTTACATGTACACAAAAACAGACGGACAGACCGATACCCAGATGCACAATGTATACACATACACAAACACACAACACATACACATACACACACATACATACATACATACACACACGCATACATACATACATACATACAAACGTATTCAGGCCGGGTATAAACAAAGCGGATTGCAGGAACTGGTGAAAATCGATTCTGATGAATGCATGAAATTTTTAGTGTAATTGGCTCTGAACGCACATCAAACAGAGAAACGCACATACAAACTGATACAAACAAATTATTGTTTGTATATACAAAAACATACATTGTATATGTATATACATGTATTGTATATACTTTGTATATATATATATATAATATAAATTGTAATATATTCAAAATAGAAACAAAAATATCAATGGATTTAAATAAAATTTATATATATATTATATATATTTAAATAATATATATATATATATATGTGTGTATGTGTGTGTGTGTATGTGTAGATATCTATGTATTGGTATATACCACACAATTTTATGTTAATGTTTTTAATTGATTAGATGGTAACAGTTTTATGGCACGTCGATATATTCTTTCTTAATTTTTTACGTAATTTTTTCGTCTAACCCGATTTTTAAAAAAAATTATTAAATTAAAAACAATTAATTAATTATTTTTATTATTAAATTTTAAAAAAAGTTATTTAAAATTATCCAATTCATTATTAAACAGTATAAAAATGTTTTGTTTATGGGCTCACTGCATTGCAAGTCGCCTGATGTATTGTTTAGAAAGAGAAATATTTTTATGTGGTTCATTCATTCATTCATTAATTAATTAATTAATTAATTAATTAATTAATTAATTCATTCATTCATTCACTCATTTCATTAATTATCCATCCATCCATCCATTCATTTATTCATTCATTCATTCTCCCATTCTTTCATACAATCACTCACTTCTTTGTAAGAATTAATTAATTAATTAATTAATTAATTAATTAATTAATTAATTAATTAATTAATTAATTAATTAATTAATTAATTCATTCATTCATTCATTCATTCATTCATTCATTCATTCATTCACTCATTTCATTAATTATCCATCCATCCATCCATTCATTTATTCATTCATTCATTCTCCCATTCTTTCATACAATCACTCACTTCTTTGTAAGAATTTTTTTAACTTTTAATTATCTCAATTAATTAGATTTTTACCCGAGTAGCTAACAGATAGGACACACGCACACACGCGCACACATCACATACATAACTAAATATGAATAACCACACACACGCACAGACATTCGCAGACTAACACCGATAGATACGCACACATATAAACGTGCATATATTTTAAAGGGTCGTCACGTGTTTCTGTGAATGTCTTTGTGTATATGTGTGTTTGTATGTGTATTGATATCTATGAATGTGTGTGTGTGTGTGTGTTAGTTTGCATGTATATGTGTATGTGTGTGTGTATGTGGTGCCTGTGTATAACAGCCTTTGTGGCCCGATTGTTTAATGGTACCTATGTAAGCATGGAACAAAAAAAAAAAAACTCTGCTCTCACCAGAACCAAAAAAGGATATGCATGGCTATATGTTTCTAAGTCTGTGTGTTGTTTATGTATATATGTGTGTATGTATGTATA